TGGGTGCAGCGACGAGCCCGAGGCGACTCCGAGGCCACCCCGATGCGAGAAGCGGCGAGGTCCCTGCCGCCAGAGACGGCGAGAGCTGTGCTTGGATCGGCCGTGGACGCACTGTCGCAGACCACCCAGCGGGCAGGCGGCTGCCACGATCCCGCAGAAACGGCCGCCTGGGAGACAACCCGACGGTGGCTCAGGGCATGGGCGCGGAGCGAGCTCCAGGTGAAAGCTGACAGGCCGGAGGACAACCAGCGCGCTGGAGTACTGAGCGACGACGTCCATAAGGCGAGGCGCAAGAGCCAGGGCGTCCGCTTCAAGGCAATCGAGGAGGACCTCGTGCGGGGCCCCGAGCCCCCCCCCGACGCGGAGGAGGTGAACCTGGGCGCAGTCGTCAACATCCCCAAGAGGCGGCGGAAGAAGAGCCCCAACCGGGGCAAGAAGGTGGAGACCCAGGGTCTGGTCAAGCCGGTCGCCCTGGGCCGCGCTCGTGCCTCCATCGCCCTGCCGGACCACCCGATGCTGGGAGGGGGCGACTACGGCCGGTGGATCGAAGAGCAGAAGCGCGAGGCGCTGATGCTGCGACTGTCCGAGGGAACCCGCGCTGGCTACGAGACCGGCTGGAAGCAGTGGCAGAGCTTCAGGGCAGCCCAAGGGGAGTCGCCCTGGCTGGAGGGACGCGACCGCGAGGAGCGACACGCCAACGAGGAGGCACTGTTGGGCTTCGTCATCGTGTTGGCCAAGGTGCTGAAGCGCACGGAGGGTACGATAAAACAGAAGTTGTTCGCAGTGCGCTTTGCCCACCTCGTGGTCGGGTACCCAGATCCTCTACTCCACCGAGGCCGCCTTTGGTCCACGCTCGCCGGCCTCCGGAGAGGCCAAGGGCCGAGCGGGAGGAAGCGGCCAGTGACGCCTCGCATGCTCCTGTGGCTTCAGGGCTTCCTGCAGGACCAGTCGGACCTCCCCGAGGCGGACACCGCTGTCCTGTGGGCCGCCGTGGCGGTGGCCTTCTTCTTCATGTTGAGGGCGTCCGAGTACTTGGTCCAGCCCGGGAAGACATGGAGTCGAGAGCGCGTTGTGCGTGGAGTGGACGTCACGGGCCGCGATGGCGACAACAAGCCCTGTGCCTTCAAGGACGCGGTGGAGGCGGTGCTCCACATCACCTCCTCGAAGACCGACCAGTACAACGTGGGGTGCGTACGGAACCAGTGCGAGACGGGCACATCATTGTGCCCCGTGGCAGCACTCCGCCAGCTGGAGCGGCACTACCCGCAGAGGCTGCGGGGGAGCGAGGAGGAGCTCCCACTCTTCCGCTGGGCGAGCGGAGCGCCCATCCGCCGCGAGGAGGTGCAGCGCTACCTGACGATCGCAGGGCTTGCCGCCGGGCTGCGGAAGGATGAGATCGGCTCGCACAGCCTCCGCATCGGGGGCGCAACAGCGATGTACCATGCCGTGGACGACTTGCAGCGCGTCAAGCGCTTCGGGCGCTGGGCCTCCGACAGCTTCCACGGATACCTGTGGGAGAGCCACGAGCCCATGCGCGGCGTCTCGACCAACATGGCGACGGATGTGTCCGAGCTCACGGCGCCGCCGGCCCATGGGGCCGAGGGCGCGCGCCGTGCAGGCAGGAGCCCGACACCGCCTTGGCCCAAGGCAGCGCTGACCATGACGACGCTCGCCGCTACGGCTGGCAGCGCAGACGGCTACGTGCTCAAGGTCAGCCCGATGGAGAGTCAGAACCTGCTGATCCTCGTGCTCCCGGTCGGCTTGGGAGCTTGGGCGATGGCGGCGGGAGTACTCCTGGCAGCCGCGCTGCTGAGCGCTGCATGGCGGCGCGAGCAGCAGCGAAGGCGCAGAGGAGCGGCCCGCGGGCGCGGCAGCGGCTGCAGGATCCGCGCCCCCTGCGCAGGCATGCTGTGCGCCGCGCTGGTGGTGACGGCGCTCACGACAGCAGCCGGAGAGGTACAGAGCCGAGAAGTGGCGACTGTTGACGGCAAGGCCCAGGGGGCCATGCTTCGCTGGGAGCCGCAGACGGGCACGGTGGCGATCATTGTCCCGGTGGAGACGGCGATGAAGGTGGGTGCCACGATCGCAGTGCTGCTTGCAACAGGCATCGGGGTGATTGGTGGCTGCTGCTGCAAAATGGCCAAGGAGGACGAGGGTAGGCAGGGGCCAGCCGTGCAGCAGGCCGCCGTGCAGCAGACGCCCAAGGTGCATAAGCCTCCCAAGCAGCCGCAGAGGACGTTTTGCGACGCAGGGGTGATGGGCCCGGTGCACTACAACGGCGCGAGGTACGTGCACGAGACCCAGGGCTTCCGCCGGGCCAACGAGGTGACGCGAGAGATGGCCCCGCCGGGGCACCGCGGGTCACCAGGGCGGCCCCGTGGAGGGGAGCAGAGGCCGCACCGTGACTAGGGTGCGGGCTGCCGCCGGCCAGCAGCCGAGCGGGCAGCAGAGGTCCGCCGCCGGCAACCGCCGTGTGAGCGGCCACGTGGCGCCAGCTGAGTTCAGCCTGGCGCCCGCATCAGCTTCGTACTTACGAACGACTGGGCGCGCGCCGCGGCCAAGCTGCCCGTGGGCAGGCGCCGCGCCGACCTGGCACCCGGCAGTGCCGCCAAGGAGGCAGCAGTGGCGGCTTCGAGGAAGCGCCGGCGGCTAGCCCAGCCAGGGCTGCCGCGCGGGGCGCGTGGGAACCACCGCCGCCGGCATACGCCGTGCGGGCGGAAGCGCGGCGCCGGCTGAGCTCAGCCTGGCGCCCGCGCTCAACTTTGCGCTTGCGAGCAGCTGGGCGCGGCGCGGCAGCAGCTGGCGCCTGAGGGCAAGAGCGCCGGCCGGCCCGGCCACCGGCAGCGCCGTCATGGGGGACGGCGGTGGCGGCTACGGGGGCGCCGGCAGCCAGCCCAGCCAGGGCTGCTGCCTAGGGCGCACGAAGAACCACCGCGGGCGCCGGCAGCCTGCCGCCCTGCGCCTGCGGACCCACCTTGCTGGGCAGACGTAGCGGCCTGCTGCGGATGCCAGGACTGTTCTACGCCGACAAGGTCGGCGGCTACGCGTCCCACTACAGCCAGTTCGGCGTGGTGGAGCGCTCGCAGGGGGAAGGAGGCGGCGTGGCCCGCTGCGCGTGGCCAAAGACGGCGCCGGCGCGTGGAGCGCCGGGCGCCGGCACAGGGAGCGGCACGGCCCCTTTGGCAAAAAGAAGGGTCGTCGTCGTCATCTGAGCCGTGCACGTCCCTCCTTTCCTCCCTCTTGAGCCCCTGCCTACTAGGCTCAAGAGATTTTAGTTTACCAGTGCTGCTTGAGGGGATATCTAGGATGTTTGGTAAAACTGATGGATCTCCCCGTCCCCAGAACTGGCGCGGGCTTCCACTTGCGGTTCCCTTGCTCCTGCCCTTGCCTCTTGCTTGCCCTTTCTCTCTCCCTCTCTCTTCACCGCCGCTCCGCGGCTCAAGCCTTTCTAAGGCCAAGCTGGCCCACCCTGGGAGCCCTGCAGGGCTCCCTACCCGCCCTTTTCTGGACTTTTACAACGCCGCCGGGTGCTACAGTGCCTCGGCGGCGCGGCGTGGCCCGCTGCGCGTGGCCAAAGACGGCGCCGGCGCGTGGAGCGCCGGGCGCCGGCACAGGGAGCGGCACGGCCCCTTTGGCAAAAAGAAGGGTCGTCGTCGTCATCTGAGCCGTGCACGTCCCTCCTTTCCTCCCTCTTGAGCCCCTGCCTACTAGGCTCAAGAGATTTTAGTTTACCAGTGCTGCTTGAGGGGATATCGCGTGGATATTGCCAATCTTCCATGTACACATGTATACACATATACGTGCACGTGTGAACACAATCCGTAACGGTCGTCACTCGGAGGCGCGGGGGGGAAAATGGTCCTGGTAGCGGGTATGCGCGTGAATGCCAACATGTGGGTGGGGTGCAGCTCCACCCCACACATACGATCGATCCGTTACCCAGGGAGACGGGGGTGCTAACCTGGGCAATGACCGTTGCGAGCCAGAGGATAAAAGAACAACATCGTGGCACTTCGACCCTCCGAGGGGGTGCCTCCCAAAGCGAGAGCAGGGTGGCCGCCACCACGGCCCCGAGATGACGAGACCACCCTGTCCTTCTCTGAATAGCTCGACCAAACGGCCAGACCGCCGCCTGCATGCGATGCACACGGCCCACCCGTGCTCAGATCCGCTCACAACCTGACCACAACGTACGAGGAAAGCCCCGAAGGCCTCGCGATGCAACTAGAGACCCAGTTGACGTCGAATCCACCATTGATTCACATCGGGTTACTTTGGATGTACGTCCGATTCGCGTCGAACCTGCGTCGGAGCATCGCCGCGCGAACGTCGACCCAGATCTTACGGAGCGGACGTGTGGACTAGATGGTTCATTATTGCGCGCTGCGAGAGGCTTCCAGAACGCCCCTTTATGACTCATGGCCACACTGCCACTAGTGAGCGACACCTGCGCACTAGCACTCAGGCCTGCCTACAGCCTGTCGCGGTCACACACTTGGCCTCGCTCGCACCCCGACGCCCATCAAAGAAAACGGCTGAAGATATGCAAACATCGGGCTATCCGCGTCGATCAGTTGTTCATGTCAGGAGCCATCCTGGAAGGTTCGGCGGCGCGCCGAGGGGAAGTGAGAGGGGCAGGCCTTCTCAAAGGCGGCGGGGCTCCTCAGAAGCCCAACGGCATTCTGAGAAGCCTTGTTTGGCGTCAGAGAAGGCTATGAAAGCTTCTCAGAAGACACGGAGCCCTCTGAGCCTTCTGCGGAAGCCCGTCCCTCCTGGTTAACACCATAACTCGGGCCTTCGGCGGCCGTTCGGGACGATCCGGGCACCCCCGGAACGCTCTCGGCGAGGCGCAGCTGCTGGAGACCTCGAATCTCGAACCTCCGCTCTCCCCCCTGGGCGCGCCGCCGACAAGTCTCTCCAGTTGGGATCAGCCCAAGCGATGCGGGCCCTCCCACTGCGGCCGCAGGGCGCGAGAGGGCGCTGCCGAGGGCGCCCGCGTCCTCCTGCTTCTTCCCGGCGGAGGGGTCGCAGCTAGCCTGCGGTGTGGCCGGGGGGGCCCAGCGGCTGCCGGCGCCGCAGCTGCCGACGAGGACGGCCAACTGCCCCAGGGAGAATTGCTCTGCGACGTACCCAACCCATTGGCATCAAAAGATGAAACGAATGGACCCAAATTGGCATGGATGCTGACAGCGAAGCAATCGCCATGTCCTGAGCACGCTACATGGGATGCGCGCGCGTTGCACGAATCACAGGCCATCAATCGAGGGACGGGGAGTGAGGCCCCAGGCTCGAAGAGGAAGGGGGCGGGAACGATGGGTAGGAGAAGGACGGACGGGGAGCCGACAAGTTTTCCAAATTTGCGACGGTTTCGGTCATCGCAGCCCCCCAAGGGATGGCCAGGTCAAATCAGAACATCTGCGCGCGGCACCCTACCCACTGAGCTGCCCCCCCAAGCAGCCGTCGAAAGTGGCAACAGTTTCGCAGATCGCAGCCCCCCAGGGATGGTGAGGTTCGATTTCAGAATCTGCGTTCGTTGCCCACTACGCTGGCCCCCAGCAGCGCTCGAAAGCGGCGACAGTTTCGTAGTTCGAAACCCTCCAGGATAGCTAGGTCCAATCTAGATCTGCGCTCGGTACCCACCACGTCGCCCCCACAGCAGCCCTCGCCAGAGGCGACAGTTTCGCAATTCGCAGCTTCAAGGGATGACGAGGACTAATCTGGATCTGCTCTCGTTCCTACGCGGCCCTCTCCCCCGCAGCATTCGACAGAGGTGACGGTTTCGCAGGTAGCAGCCCCCTAATCTAAATCTGAACTCGGTGCCCACAATGCTGGCGCCCCCAGCAGCCTTCGAAAGTGGCGACGCTTTTGCAATTCGCAGCCCCTCAAGGGATGGCGAAGTCCAATATGAACCTGCGCTCGGTACCCACCAAACTGATCCCCGAGCAGCCCTCGAAAGTTGCGACAGCTTCGTAGTTCGCAGCCCCCAAATAATGGCGAAGTCTAAACTAGACCTGCGCTCGGTACCCACTCAGCTGGCCTCCTCGTCAGGCCTCGAAAGTGGCGACAGCTTCGCAATTCGCAGACCCCCAGGGATGGCGAATTCTAATTTGAATCTATGCGGGGTACCCACTAAATTGGCCCGACAGCGGCCCTCGAAAACGGAGACAGTGTCGCTGTTCGCAGCCCCGCCAGGGATAGCGAGGTGCAATCTAGATCAGCACTCGGTACCCACTCAGATGGCCTCCCCCGCAGCCCTCGAAATCCGCGACAGCTTCGCAACTCGCGAGGTCTAATCTGAATATGCGCTGGGTACCAACTAAAGCTGGCCGCCCCATCAGCTCTCGAGTGGCGAAAGTTTCGCAATTCGTAGCCCCCCAGCGAGCCCCCAGGTAGGGCGTCGAGGTAGGAGGCAGGCTAGCAGGCAGATAGGAGGGGATAGGAGGAGGAAGGCAGAAAGGAAGGATACGCGACCCCAGTACTCTGTTCAAAACGAAACCCAACGCAGGATGAGAAGTAGTGAACAAGGACAAGAAGCAGTGGGACAGGGGAGGAGGAGGAGGAGGAGGAGGAGGAGGAGGAGGAGGAGGAGGAGGATCTGTGTTCCCCCTGCACGCGCAGACGGCGCGAGCTGGACGACGACGCTCAAACCACTCTTGATGCAACGTGGTGTCTCCCAGCCGCGGCGGCTCCGGGGGGGGCGCGCCTTCAGGTGCCGGAACAGCGCGTTGCGCGAGGCCAAGACGGCGCCGCAGTGCGTGCACTTGACGTCAGAAGGCGGCGGCTGCGGGCGCGGACAGGGACAAGGGGAGAAAGAGGCGGGGGAGGAGAGGGAGCTAGAAAGGAGGAAGTATGACAATAATACCACAAACACATGAACAACACTGACTCGACGCGGAGAAACCCACATGACAATCTCATACTCCTGTCACGTCTCGCTGGGACACTCTGACTGTGAGCGTCTGGGTGTGAGATTGAGTCAGCGTGGACGACGGGCGCGACAGCGACGATGCCGACAACGACGACCTCAGTGACGTCCTCCTCCTCTGGGCATCTTTCAGGAGAGGTGAAGGAAGCACAAGTGGAAGAGCGAGGGAACACTGGACCTCCCAAAGAGAAAAACGTGACCGAATCTCAGCGTGAATGATCTGAGTGTGAGTGAGTCAGAGTGTGAGAGAAACCGGGTAGGGTTGAGTGCGAGTATGAGTGGGTCTAGGTGTGGAAAAGTCTTAGTACACGTGGGTCTGAGGATGCGCAAGTCTCAGTATCAGTGAATATGAGTGAGAGTGAGTCTCAGCGTGGGTAAATCTTGGTTGAGTGGGTCTGAAAATGAGTTGATGAGTACGAGCCAGACTCTGAGTGGGTCTGAGCACGAGCGCGTCTGACTACGAGTGAATATGAGGGTGGGTGAGACTGAGTGCGAGTGAGTCTGAGTTTGAGTAAGTCTGAGTGTGAGTGAGGCGGCAAAGAAACAGCTCTGTCCTTCTCCTCCTGCGTCCTCCTTCGTCCAAAGAGATGTCCACCTCCTCCTCCTCCTCCTCCTCCTCCTCCTCCTCCTTGGCGGCCATCCTTCCCCCCGACACCTGCGTCCTCCTCCGCCTCCTCCATCTCATCCCTCCTCCCCCGTCCTCCCTCCTCCCTCGTCCTCCCTGGCAAGTGTACCCCTCTCTGGCGGCTCTTCTTTGGGGTGTACACATGCGTGCTACGATTGCTTGATCGCGGCGACCATGAGGCTCTAGGCCTGGGCCACCACACAGGCAAACCGCCCGAGACATCCCCGCACTGGCCGCGAACGGGGAAGTGAAGTATCGGCGGTGGACAAGCCTCCCTTTAGTAAACCTCCCCTTAATGAAAACGACCTGGGACCGAAACCGACGGACCTGGACCCGCAAAAATGACGGCCGCGACGCCCTCTCGCGAACCGCAAACGGCCCATTCCTGAATCGACGTGTCAGTGTAGGAGGTCTATCCTCCTCCGAAAGTATACCCCGACGGCCCCCACTGGGGAGTGCGGAAATCGGCGCCTCGCTCGAAGACAGTCTCACCAGCTGCCCTGAAAGCAGGGCGTGCTGGGCACCCAAGCGCGCACTCCGCTGGAGACCACCCCACAAGCTGAGCGCGAACGGGCCCGTGAGAAGACCCCAGCGGCTCCCCCCCTTGGGGAGGCTGAGATCAGCGCCTCGCTCGAGACGTCCTCGGACTCTGCTGTGAACGCAGACGAGCCTGGCAACCCAAACAAGCAAACTGCCCGAGACATCCTGGCAAGCTGAGCCCTTGGCGTTGTGGATGCCACGACAATGGACACCCTAACAGTCCGATCATTGAATTTAAAATGTGTTTGAAATGCCGGAACATGTTCTAAAAATGCTGCAAACATGTGTTTTACATGTTCAAGACATGTTTTAGGCACCTGGAAATTATTTGGCAGCATGCTTCCTCTCCGTTGATCGCCCTCCACAACCTTGGCGGTGCTGAACCAGCGCCTCACCCGAGACATCCCGATCCGGCGACGTGACGCGCCGACTGCGTCTGGCAACGGGACCCGCCTCGACTCCACGCGCCGTGCTCCGTGCCCGCGACTCCTCGACCGCCCCTCCGAGAGAGAGCCGTGCTGGCCTCCGCCCTCCAGCCTGGGCAGGCCCGCTCCTCCGGACCAGCCGCCGCGAGGGGACCGCCCGCCCGCCGACGTCAGACCGCGCGCCGCCGCCCCTCGGCGGTGGACAAACCTCCCCTTAGTAAACCTCCCCTTAGTGAAAACCTCCCCTTAGTAAACCTCCCCTTAGTAAACCTCCCCTTAGTAAACCTCCCCTTAGTGAAAACGGCCTTGGACCGAAACCGACGGACCTGGACCCGCAGAAATGACGGCCGCGACGCCATCTCGCGAGCCGAAAACGGCCCATTCCTTCATCGACGTGTCAGGGCAGGAGGTCTGTCAACCTCCGATCCCCCCTCGCACTCTGAGGGGCAACGATAGGGGGGGACTGGCATAGGGGGGGATGCATCGACCTGGAATCGGCGATACATCGCCGATAGATCGGCGGTAGGCCCCCGATCGAGAATCCGCACCTTCCCGTGCAGGTTGGGGCTATCGGGCCCCTATCGGCGATCCGTGGGCGATGGGGAGTCGATGCATCCCCCCCTATGCCCATCCCCCCCTATCGTTGCTTTCGATCGCAACCACTGGCCCCATCGCCGCCGCCGGTGCCGCGTGCCGCGTGCTGCCGCGGCCGCCGCCGAGAGCCTCCGCCGCCGCTGCCGCCGCGACGCGCCACCGCCGCGGCCGCCCGGCGCCGCTGCGGCCCCCCGCGGCGGCCGCGGGTCGCCTGCGCGCCCTCCGCGGGGCACGGCGCGGCGGCCGCGGGGGCCGCGCCCGCGGGGGCCGCGCCCGCGGCCGCGGCGCTGGGCGGCTCCGGGCTCGGCCTGTCCCCGAGAAGCAGGGAAGCAGAGTACAGTCGGGGCGTTGACCTAAGGAACCCTAAATAAGGAACGAGGCCCCTGTTTTCCAGAAGTTCAACTTCGACTTCCTATCGAGAACATCGGAAAACCTGAGGCAAACTGTGCAACACTTTCGGAACGCAGAGCCCCTCCCCAACGAGAAGGGTTCCTTCTTCAGGGCCCCGACTGTACCGTGCAGGCGCGGCCGCAAGAAGCCTTCAAAAGAGCCCCAGCCCTGAAGGCCCGCGCGCGGAGTGCGACTGGGGGGCGGCCAAGAGCAGCCTGGGCGCAGCGGGTTCTTTCCTGGACGCGGGAGGTCACTGCGCGGCGCGCGAAGCGAAGAAGCCCCAAGGCACCCGAGCGAAAAACCTAAGATTCCTTGATGCGCGGCCCCACTGCATCAACCACACGCCGTTGCTGCGAACCCGTCAGCACGTCGCTCCTTCCGTGCTGTCCGAACACCTGATGCTTCTAGATGCTCCTTCGACAGAAACACCCTGATGGGTTCCCTACGGCGGCGTGTCATTCGTGCTGGTATGGATCCCTCTCCGCCGCCGCGAGGCACGCTGAGCCGCGGCAGTCGGAGGAACCCGTCGCCGAGCCGCGAGGCACGCTGAGCGAAGTGCCCTCGGGTCACTCCGAATTCTCTGCTGCTCTGGGCATTGTGGGTACTCTCTGAGGGGCCGGGGCCCACGAGCTTCGGGACCTGCTGGGCGCTCTCACGATGCTCCGCACGACGTTTCCCGAAGTCGCACGTCATACACCCAGAGAACATCGCGCTTGTTGTTCAAGGATATCGGCCCTAGATGGGGGAACGCGGACTGGCCCTGCATGCCCTCTTGTGCCGAGACGGCCCCCGAGAGCCAAAATGCACCCACGAGGCCCACAGAGGCGCCCAAGGTGCCCGAAAGAGAGGCCCCCAAGATCCCTCCCAAGACGCATCCCGGAGGGACCCAGGCCATGAACCATATTGCAGGCACGATGGCTGGATGGGCCGAAGGCCACTAGATGATACATGATGGTGGTTGTGTTGGTGGTTGTGATGATGATGATGATGATGATGATGATGATGATGATGATGATGATGGTGATGATGGTGGTGATGGTGCTGGTGATGACGATGATGATGACGACGACATTGACAATGCTGATGACGATCACGGTAACGAGAACGATAACTAAGACGATTACGATGATGGTACGGATGATGATGGGGATGTTACTGATGCTGCTGATTATGATGCTGATGCAGATGTTGATGAAAGCGATGATGCTAGTGATGATGACGATGACGATGCTGATGATGAAGATGATGATGCTGATGATGACGATTACGATGATGATGACGATTACGATGATGATGACGATGATGACGATTCTGATGATCATGATAACGATTATGATGATGTTGATGATGATGGTGGTGGTGATGACGATGACGATGCTGATGATGATGTTGATGTTGATGACCACGACGATGAGGAAAATGCGCGTGAGGATGGTGCAATACACAAACGCGCTCAGCGCGCCTGCACAGGGCGGCGGGCCGCAGCCAGCGCCTTGAACCCCTTTGCATAGAGGTCCAGGCTCCGCAGCATGTGCGGGAGCTGCAGCGCCGCGACCTTGTTCGTCTCCCGCACGCACGTGACGAACGCGTCGGTGGGGCAGTGGACGTCCTGGCAATGCTGCACGTAACACGCGCGGACGTCGCCGTCGGAGGCCGGCTCGCCCTCGAAGCCGGGGCACTGGCAGTTCGGGTAGTCCCCGAGGCTTCGGCACATCTCCTCGCACTGCACGCCGAAGAGGGCCGTGCGCGCCTGGAGCATGGCGAGGCGGTCGTGGCTTCGCGCCTCGCAAGGCCCCGAACCGTCGGAGGCGGCGGCGGCATGGCCGCCGCCGCGCGCCCGCGCCACCGCCCTGCGGTGCAGCTCCAGGTGGGAGTCCACGCGGGCCATCAGGTCGTTCCACTCCAGCAAGGAGGCCCTGGTCCTGTGTGTACGCCCGGAACGGTGGCGGAAAGTATGGGCACGATGCCCAACAGTGGGGCCTGTTCACGAGGAACGCGAGCAGTTGTCCTTCTGCCCCTTTCTGACAACAATTCTGCTCGTTTTGACGATAGTTCCTGTGCATTTGGACAACAGGCGCCGTCAACTGGACAAGATCTGCCGTCAAAGAGACCGATTTTTTGTCCGATGGGCCCCGGATGACAACAAGTCTGGCTCCAGATGACCAGGCGCTGCTATTTGGCATCGTACCCATGTTCTCTGTCCCCGCTCTGGGCACGCAGAGTCCTCTCCCGCACGCAGGTCACGAAGGGATCCGAGGGGCAGGGCTGGGCGGGGTCCTGGCAGTGCTGCTCCATGCAGGCGCGCGTGTCGCCGTCCTCGGCGGGCTCCCCAGCGAAGCCGGGGCACTGGCAGTTCGGGTAGTCCCCGAGCCTCTTGCACATCTCCTCGCACTGCACGCCGAAGACGCCGAGCCTGGCCTGCAGCAGCGCCCGGTGCTCTCCGTCGTGGCAGTCGTGTGCCGCCGCTCGGGCCGCGAGCGCGGCGAGCGCGGCCGCGCCGAAGCGCGCCGCGGGCTTCATTTTACTTGATTTTGGGAGGGCGTGTGCGGGGGGCGGCCTGCGCTGGCCGATCGGCGTGCGGGCTGCCGGGGCGCCGAGGCGGCTTGGGCTGGTGGGTTACGGAGGGCGACGCTTAGGACGGGCATGTCATCCGACATGCGGATTTTGGACGAAACTGAGAAAAAATATTCAAAAAGAATCACAAATAGTTGAAACATCGTCCCCAATCTATGTTTTGATTATTTTTGGATTTCCCTCCTGTCGAGGGACATGCCCGACTTGAGGCGACGCAAGAGGACATACTGGTGTACCATGGCCGGCACCCACAAGGTGGTGGCGCGAGGGAGGCGGTTTCGTGAGAAAAGGCGGAAGGGCTTCTGAGAGTGCACGGGGGGCTTCTCAGAAATCCACCGGGCTTCCGAGAAAGAGGGGCCTCCTCTCCTGGGCCACATGGGAGGGACCCTGCCTTCCCACAAGCCCCGTCGCCGTCCAAGTAACCCACGCCCCTCTCGCGCCACCCCCCCTTGCAGACCTGCGCTGGATCGAGCCGCCAAGCCGGATCGGATCGGAGACGGGTCGCATCGCCAGCAAATCGTCTTGGATCGAGTCGAGATCGGATCGCTGCGCCTGGCTCTGGCTGGCCCTGGGTCGGTGAATCGGGCCGAATCGGATCGAATCGGAATCGCGGCCCTGGCTGGCGAATCGAGTCGACTCGGATCGGATCGCAGGCTGCCCTGCATTGTGGCCGCCGCCAGCAGGCGGAGGGCGACGGCGAGCGAGCGGACGAAGACGCAGAGGGCCGAGAGGCAGTCGCCACCAAAAACGCCTCGAAGCAGCCTGTGACCGAACCTCCAGAACGACCGCGACGGACCTTCGACGGTGACAAAGTCGGACCAGGAGGAGAAGGAGTACGAGGAGGAGGAGGAGGAGGAGGAGGAGGACGAGGAGAAGGAGGAGGAGGAGGAGGACGAGAAGGAGGAGGGGAAGGAGGAGGAGCAGGAGGAGGAGGACGAGAAGGAGGAGGAGGACGAGAAGGAGGAAGGGGTATTTTTGGATGTATCGGGGGCCGCGGCCGTGCCAGAGCGCTCTGGAGCGCTGTGCGAGCTCCCTGGGGCGTACTGGAGCGACTGATGCAAACCCCAGCCCCGCAGAAGACCGCGAACGCTGGAGGGTAACGCCCTGGTCTCGTCCCACAACCGTTCGGGGGCAAAGCGTGCAAGGACCTCGAAATCCCAAGGGGCCGCATCGCACGGTCCGTGCAGCTTCTGGTGCCCTGAAAGCTCTGGAGGCCCCGGTCGCCCAAAACCGTGCGGGGGCCCCGGATTCCCTCTGACGGACTCACCAAAAAACTGTGGGCACCGCAGGATTTGGATCCCCGAGATATGGACGCGCAGGGGGCGACATGGGTTCAGGGAGCCGCTCCTGGCGCTCCCCCAAGGCCTCTCCCGGTTACCCAGCGTATGACCTGCGCGCGGCACTCGAAATCGTGCGGCGCGCGTAGGTCATCCCTGCCAGTGGGCTGGGGTCGGCTTTTGGGGCTCCCTCAGCCAAGCGGTGGTGGTCGCCTCCTCTTCGCTCCTGAAGGCGCGCAATGGCGGGGGCCGTTTTTGTGAAGGCCCCCATCTGTCCCTCCCATGCCCCTCGGCCGCCGGCACACCTGACACACAGGCCTCTCGGCGTGCATTTTTTCCTCCCTCCTCACGAGGCATGAAAGAGGGCCGCTTCTCGCGAGCGTGTACTTTTGTATGGGACAGCGCGTTTCGTGGACGCTCGGTCGGACAAAAATGCCTGGACACGTCGGGCCCGACCGCCCACCCCTGGACGCCAGCCTGTCCTGCTGCCCCCCCTGCCCCCCCCCCCCGCACCATCCCGGGGGGGCTGGATCGAACGGGGGGGGGATGTCCAACGGGGGTGGGCGTCCGAACTGGGGGGAGACCCCCCTCCCAGGAATAGGATTTTTGTTGGGCTCGATCGAACCCTGATGGAATCCGACCGGGGTTCTCTCCAACTCTAACGCAAGCATGCCAAGGCCGGATCCAACTCTGAGTCGAATCCCCCAGCAAAAACACACAACTCCAGTAGAATCCGAAGCACGATCCACCTTTGATCGCATCCTGGTAGTGCTCAGCCCAACTTGAGTAACATCCTACCATAGCTGGGCCCAGCTCGAATATAATCCTACCGAAGCCTGGTCCAGTTCTAAAAAGGAACCTATTAGAGCTGGATCCAGCTCTAATTCAAACCCACCAGGGCTCGGTCCAGCTCAACAAAGATCCTGCGAGGGGGCGGGGCGGTTCGAACATACCCCCCCTTGGAATTCAGGGGTGTGGGAAGGTATGCTCGACCGGCTCCCACGGGGGTGGGGCGGTTCGAACCCCTTGTAAAGAGGCCCATCCCAGACCACTCGGCCAAACAGATCCACTTATACGTGCCCCATGTGGGTCTCCAGTCGACGACAGAACAGTCGGCCCGAAGGAGAATAGAACACCTCTTGCGCACTACCAGCTTTCTGTGCAATTTCTGCGTGTGGTGATTTTGGTCGGATCGCTGGGTTTTCCCTGGGGTGAGGTTTACGTTTGTGTTGGCTGCGCGAGATATTCGCCATGGTCCTGGCCGTCTGTTGGTCTCGAATGACTTAGCGAAGCCAACTCAAACGCTCGTGCCCACTACCAGTTGGCGGCCCTCAAGGAATCCACATGGGAAAGGTAACTTGGCGCTGCTGCTTTTGACTTCGACAAAGAACCGCTGGAGCGGCCATCTAAACCTGGCAACATATGAGGATCTGGGTGCCGACCTACAGGCATCCGAACTAGACTAACTAGCGGTCACGGATCTGGCGCATGGATTGTGGTAGTGGCGATAGGGACCATGATGTGTCCGATGTATGCGATCACTTCCCGTTCCCAGCCCGACTGGCACAATCTCCCAACTGTGCAATGTAGTAACTGATTAATGCAACGGCCACGCACATTGGCCTTAAATCGCCGCGCCCTCGCCCTCGCGCCCAGCCTCACTGTCTCCCGACAGAACATATTAGCAACTGGTTCGTGTAGCGGCGGCGCGAAAATCGCGGCGGCCAAGCGTCGCAGCCTCAAAGCGCCAAGCCAATCAAGGCGCAAGATTCAACAACTTACGCCTCGGGCCTCGAGCCCCACAACCTCTTCGAGCACGGCGTGCGCCGCGGATGGCGTGGACTTCCTCGGCGATGTCACTCTCGTTGGTGCGCCGCGCGGCTTCTCCTCGGCAGGCCTGGCCCTGTTCCGCGCGGCGCCCCTAGAGCCATTGCTTTTTCTTTGCTTCGCAGCCAGGCCGACGCCCACATGGGCGGGGGGCTTCTTGAATGCGCGGCGCCTGCGGCCATCTCCGTTGGGCGCCGAGCCGACCCGGCGATCCTCTCCGACGGGCAGCGCCCCGCCTGGCCCGGCGCCGTTCCCGAGACTGCCGCCAACGTTCTGGCCGACCAGAACCTGCGCGAGATTCGCCGGCGGAAGCTGCGCGCCGAGCCGAATGGCGCGCTGGCCAGCGCGGCGAGGAAATGGCAGGGGGCGTCGACCTCCTGCCTCGCGCGGAAGCGGGGCGGCGCCCCTCTGGAATCCTGCCTGTCCGCGATCGCCCCGCGCCCCTGGGAAATGCGCCCGCGCCCGGCCGCGCGCTCCAAATTGAACGCGTCTCGGGGGAAGCGGCCTCGACTGGAATCGCGAGGTTGTCCGCGCCGGGCACAGGCGCGCCGAGGTCGGCGTCGGCGCGCGCGGCTGGCAACTAGCCGGGGGCCTCGCGGCCCCGTCGTCGCGCCGCGTTTTCCCGCGCGGCCGCGCCCCAGCGCGGCCCGTGGATTCCTGCCCATATGACTGCCGGCCCCCGAGAGAAACCCCCGCCGTCGCGCGCCCATGCCGGCCGCCCGCCGAGCGGGCGCCCCCGCCGAGATGGGCGGGGGGGAGGAGCGCGGGGGCCAGGTGGGCGGCGCCCGACGCGGCGCGCGCACGGCCGCTGCGTTCGCGCAGACCACCTTGCAGACGAGCTGCATTTCGGCCGCCCGCCGCTCTCGCGCCACTCGGGAATCGTCGGCCCATCACCGCGCGCGCAGGAGAGGAGGCGCCCAGATCGTCGCGGGCCGCGGACGCCGAGCGCAGGGCGCCCCGGGCCGCGCGGGAGAGACGCGCCGCGTCCGAAGAGGCCGGTGCCCTCCAGTTCGGGGCCAGCCGCAGTTCGGCCGCGCTCGATCGAAACCAAGGCCCCGCTGCGAGCGAAGCCGCCCTCGGCGACAATGCGCAGCAGACGGCGCCACCAGGAGAGAGAGAGAGAGAGAGAGAGAGAGAGAGAGAGAGAGAGAGAGAGAGAGAGAGAGAGAGAGAGAGAGAGAGAGAGAGAGAGAGAGAGAGAGACATCGTCGTCGCATTCAGACGCAGAAAACACGGTTCAACTCGACGCCAAAATTCGTGGGCGCCCATGCGCAATCGCGCTCGCCATCAGCTCCCCCCTGGTTCTCACCGGGGAACAGTCCTGCCCTGGCGAACAAGTTCTTGGCCGCGACCTCCTGGATCTCGACGTCCTTCTGCGCATCTCGGAAGATCGCGGCCGCGGCGCCGACGAGGCGCCGGGCGGCAATCTGGGGCTCCGTCTCTGGCCAGGAAGCACGCGCTCTCGAACTCCACCGCGGCCTCGACCAGCGCAGCCACAGTCAGCTTCGAGCGCGCCAGTTCCCTGCTGCGGCGCGGGGGGCCTGACATTTCTGCGGCGGCAATGCCAGCGCAGCATCAAGAAACGCGCAGCATTATCGACCAGAAGATCAAGGGCGCCAAGAAAGCGCAAAACTCCTGATCGCGGAACCTTGGAAAGTCCTTTGGTCACCAGGAGGGCCTAGAACTAGAGATAGCGGGATCTTTAGATAATCGTCCGAAACTAACGATCTAGATCAAGACAGCCTAGAAGGGCCTATATGCCTAAATCGCAAGATCACTCGATGTTCTTCCTATCGAGCGGTCTAAGGATCTAGATCTAGAGATCTAGGTCGCCTGGCTCTTAAGATCGGCAGGCCATCTGAGGATCCGGCGACCTGTAGCTCTTAAGATCGGCAGGCCATCTGAGGATCCGGCGACCTGGATATCCATGCCCCATGTGCGACATAGATCTCTAGGTATTTTGATCGTTTTGGCTGAAGGCCATGAGACGATGTCGCGATCTGCTGGACATCTAGGTCGCTGGATCGCCTAATCGGGCGACCATCAAGATCTGGCGATCTGGAGACCTGGGCACTATAAGCGGACTGGCTCTCTAGATCGCGAGCTTGCGAGGTCGGGCGACCACCTGGTGATCTTGCGATCTGGGGGCCTGGCCCGCATTGGCGACCGGGGCTGTTAGATCGCCAGATAGTTCGATCGGCAGCGACCAGCTAGAGATCCTAGATCTAAGCCTTCGACGCGACGCAGATCTCCGGATCGCTGGATCGGATGATCATCTAGAGTCCGACTGCGCCCTGAGCGCATCGCCTGTCACCTACCGAACGCGCGCGCTGGGCGGCCGCCGCAGGCGCGTCAGGAGCGACGCCTCGCCGTTGCCATCGATCTCCTCGGGCGCCGCGTCGCTCCCGCGCAGCGCGGCCATCGCGATGTCGCCCCTGTCCGCGTCGGCCGCGTGCGGCTTTCACTCGGTGGATCGGCCCGCGCGCGCGTGGCCGTCTACCTCGGAGCCCTCCCCGTTCTCCTCCGCTGCCTTGATTGTCTGGACCTTCCAACGCGCGCCCTTCAAGTCCAGGCGGGGGTCCGCTCGCTTCTCCGGGTCGCGCCCCTTGCAAAATTCATTAGGCGTTGGCGCTGCCAATCTAATGAAACATCGTTTAACGCTCGCGAATAATCTCGCGCGCGACCGGGCCCACGTCGGCTGGCGTCGTCGGGGCAAGGCTCGGCCAGGCACGTAGGGGCCCTCGCCCCGCGACGGCCGTTACGCGTTCTTCCCCTTGCTCATGCGAAGAGTTATTTCGCCGGCCTGGTTCGCTGCGCGCTCCAAACGCAGCGCCTGCTGAACGTTTTTCGCGGCGCCTAGCTCCGCCGCGGCACCGGCGCGCCTGCCCGTTGCGCGCGCCGCGATCTCTCCGGCCAACCGGAAACGGCCATGAACACGCGCGCGGCGAAGAGATCGTGGACGCGGGCTCCGCTGCACCTCGTCGACCAAGGCCTTCACGACGCAAAGCCCGTCGCATTTTCCCGAAAAGCGGTCGGCGCTCGTCTGCGCCAGCTTCTTCGCGGCGTCGCGCGTTGCCGCGGTCTGGTCGCGCGGAGACAAGATTTCGTCGCCCGCGTCGACATCGTCGACCACTGTCGCCAAACGGCCCGCGACAGCATGTCCCCTCCCCGCCCGCGCCTCCCGAGGGCGCAATGAGCGCGCCCTGGGGCCGCGCAGCGGTCGCGCCACAGCGCCCGCAACAGTGGTTGCCACGACGCCGACGGGATTGGCGTTCGGATGATTCGTGTTAGCGGTGGCGACGAGGGTCACTGTTTTCGCTGGCGGTCGGTCCTCTTGCGGTGGTGCGGGGGCCACGGCCGCCCGTCGGGCCTCGACTAACACATAACGCTCAAACCAAGCCGCAAAACTGCTGCCTATCACCAGGCTTCTGACCCCCAAAAGGCGTTTTGGGGCGAACGCATGTTTGTAGTTGCGGGCCAAATCGCGGAGTTTTCGTTGAGATGGTTGTTAATTTGCTTTCTGCCGTGTTAGACGCGGCCGCATGTCGGGTCGCAAAAAAAATGCACCGGCGCCAGGACAAGCCGGGACGGTCTTGCCCATTCCCAATGTTTCCAACAACTCCTTCAAACTACCACGGCCGCTGATCGTAGCGCGCACTGCGGCCGCCGTCCGCCATCCGAATGAATTCGTCTTTGAATTGTTGATGCTGCGGGCACATAGAACAGTCAGTACAAGCTACGCGCGGTGCGCAGTGTTTGCGATGGAATCGACGTGGGGCAAAATATGTGAATATATGTGGCGCAGCCTATGTAGCGCAACCATTGTGGCGGAAACCGTGCAACATGCACCGCAACGCAAACCTCGACGACGGGCGGCGTCGAGGCGGCGACGGGGCGGCGACGGCGGCAACATAGCCACCGCGGCGGCACGCCAGCCCAGCCGCAGCGGAACACTGGCCCAGACGACGGGCGGCGACGAAGCGACGGCGGGGCGGCGACGGCGGCAACACACACGCTCGAGCGAAACACCGGCGCAGATTACGGGCGGCGACGAGGCGGCGACGGGGCGGCGATGGCGGCAACATAGCCGCCAGAGCGGCACACCAACCCATTTCCTTGGAACGAGAGTAAGAGACACTTAGTGCAATCACTGTTTGGGGAATTCCATTCCACAATGCATCGGGCCATACATTGTGCTCCTCCAGTCTCTGATCATGCTGTTTGGGCGCGGCGGCCGCCATCTTCTTGCAGCGCCACGGCATGCTTGGCTGCAAACATCGCGCAACACCGACAAGCCCTGAACAACAAACTCTGAACATCCACCTGAGTGGCGAAGCAAGCGGCTGTTGCTCTTCGGTCAGCGAGCCGACCACTTGGGCCAAACGGGCTACGGGAGTGACGATGACGACAACGATGACGAAGAACATCACACGCTGACTTCTCCTCCTCCCTCCTGGCTTCTCCTGCTCCTCCTCCCTTATCCTCCTGCTCCTCGTGCTCCTCCTCCTGCTCCTCGTGCTCCTCCTCCTCCTGCTCCTCCTGCTCATGCTCCTCCTCCTCCTTTTTCTACTCCTCCACTCCTCTTACTCACATCCTCTTGTACCCTTTTCCTCCTGTCCCTGTCCCCCCATTCCTGTGCTCCCCCTCATCCCGTCCATCCCCTCGCCCCCCCCCCGTCCGCGATTGACCCAGGTGATCTAAACCTCCAGACCCTTTGTTGACCCAGGTGAACCTCTGTGGCCACATGGTCTGGGATCGGGCTTCATGCACCCCCCCTTCGCAGCGTCCACCAAACGCACTCTTTCTTATGTATGGACGCACACATAGTGTGCCGTGTGTTATGTTCTGCTATGTTGTTCTCCCCATCCGACAACACGCAAAATGCCACGTGCTGTAAATCACGACTGGAACCCGAGACCCAATCCCTCTGCTTCATGTCAAGCCGGATCGACCCGAGATTGTCCGGCGGGGGGCCGAGCTATGGCGAACTCGCCGGGTGTGAAAGATAATTGCGACGCCAGGATCTTGGGGCTGCTGCCTGTGCTGCAGGAACCAAAATCTCCGATGTCTTTTGGCTTTCTTGAATACGCTCCCCCCCTACGAAACCCCACCCTTCTAATACGGCCAATGTCTCATCCGGAAGTGTTTTTTGACGGTCCTGCCCATGGGGCCTGGCGATGGCCCCCAGAGCCAGAAAACAGCCCGAAACCAACCGTCGTGCTTGTTGCGGCGGCGAGCTCGGGGGGGAAGTGAGAAGGAAGAGGCCTTCTCAGAAGGCTCGGAAATCCCCCCAGCCTTTTTGAGAAGTTGTCTGCTCTAAGCGTTCGCTGGAGACACGCAGAACACCTCTCAGAAGGCGCCAGGGCTTCGAGAAGCCCCGCCGCCTTATGAGAAGGCCGTCTCCTTCTCGTTTCCCCCCCTTCTCTCGCCGCCGATCACCGTCGTGTTTTTTCACGACGCAGGCGTGTCCGTGCCCTGCGGGCGAGGCGAGGCGAGGCGCGCGTGTCCGCCGGCCGGTGGCTGGCGGGGCCCGGGGGGCCGGCGCGGGCGGGCCGGGGCCCGTGGTATTTCGACGTTGGAGTAGGCAATGAAGGCTGGCCCTGCGGGGCCGGCCCTGGAGCCGGGCGGGAGCTGCGTGCATGCCTGCGGGGGCGCACGATAGAGCCCGGGTCGGCACAGGGCCGGGTCGACCAGCCGCCCCGCCGCAGAGGCAGGCCAGACGCTCGGCGGCTCCCTGGGCCCGGGCCCACGGAGGGCGGGAAGGTCCCACGCGGGCTCCCAAGACGGGAGCCAGGCCACGCTCGGCAGTTCCGCTGGGAAGCGGTCCCGCGTAGCTCCAACGACCGAGTCAACCAGTCGTCATCATCATCATCATCATCATCATCATCATCATCATCATCATCATCATCATCATCATCAGCAGCAGCAGCAGCAGCAGCATCATCATCATCATCATCATCATCATCATCATCATCATCATCATCATCATCATCATCATCATCATCGTCAGCATCATCATCATCATCATCATCCTCATCCTCATCCTCATCCTCCTCATCCTCATCCTCCTCATCATCATCATCATCAGCATGATCAGCAGCAGCAGCAGCATGATCAGCATGATCAGCAACAGCATGATTAGCAGCAGCGGCATCAGCAGCATCCTCATCCTCATCATCAGCATCATCGGCATGATCATAATCCACATCATCATCATCATCATCATCATCATCATCAGCATCAGCATCATCATCATCCTTACCCTCACCCTCACCCTCACCATCATCATCAGCATGTTCATCATTCACAGCCTCATCCTCATCCTCATCCTCAGCATCCTCATCCTCATCATCATCTCGATCCTATTCATCATCATCATCATCAAGATCATCATCAGCTTCATCATCATAATCATCATCACCCCCATCAACACCATCGATATCGTCATCATCATAATCAGCACCATGCTCATAATCGACATCACCATCACCATCATCATCGTCATCGCCATCATCGTCGTCATCATCAGCGGCATCAGCATCATAATCATCACCACAGATCTCGCCATCATCATAATCATCATAGTCATGATCGCCATCGTCGTCGTTGTCATCATGATCAACACCAGCATCATCAGCATCAACATCGGTATCGTCATCATCATAATCAGCACCGCAATCACTATCATCACAAGCATCAGCATCATCACCATTGACATCGTCCCCATCATCATCACCAGCAGCAGCATCATCATCAGTATCCAACTCGGCATCATCAGCATCTGTCTGTCCACCATCACCATCACCATCAGCAACAACATCATCGTCAGCATCATCATCATCATCATCATCCTCACCCCCACTCTCACTATCAGCATCATCAGTACCATCATCATCGGCAGCACCTTGGCCATCATCATCAGCCTCACAACCAGCATCGTCATCGTAATCATCAGCAGCATCATCATCATCAGCATCATGATCAACGTCGTCGTCCCCATCATCATCACCACCACCATCACCATCATCATCATCATCACCATCACCATCACCATCACCATCATCATCAGCATCATCATCATCGTCATCGTCATCATCGTCATCATCATCATCATCATCAGCATCATCATCATCATCATCATCATCATCATCATCATCATTACCATCATCATTACCATCATCATCATCATCATCATCATCATCATCATCATCATCATCATCATCATCATCATCATCATCATCATCATCATCGTCAGCATCATCATCATCATCATCATCACCATCATCAGCACCACCACAAGCATCCGCATCAGCCCCAGCATCCTCTCAGCAGCATCACCAGCAGCAGCATCGCCAGGGCGACGGTCGGCCTGGCGCCCCCCCCGCCCTGGGGGCCGAGCCGTGGGCCCGCCGCGCGGCGGCCGCCCGCCCGCCATCGCGGCCGCCGCCGCGGGCTTCGCGGGCGGCCGCCGCCCGCGGCCCCGCTGAGGAGGGGCAGCCGGCGGCGGGCTCTGCCGCTGCTCGCGCCGCCACGTGGCCGCGCGGCCTGCCTTCTTTGACGAACGAACAACACACACCCATACCCACAAGGGGGGTCGTTGGGAGGAGGACTGGCTATGGGTATGGGTGCGGGTTGTCGGACCCTAGGGATCGCTCCTCCCGTTCGAGCGGGGACCCCCGTCCGACAACACGCACCCATAGCCCTTTCCGACCCCCCTATGGGTATGGGTGTGTGTTGTTGGTTCGTCATTCTTGGAGTCGCAGGTGTATCACGTCCAAGCGCCAGGAGGAGCAGTCGGGAACACCTTTGGGGGCGGGAGGCCTGGCCGCTGCTCACGCTGCCATCTGGCCAGCCGTCGCCACCTGCACCACCCTCCCCTCCTCCAGGCAGCAGTGTGGACGCAGTGCCGTCTCCGCCGCTCTGTCGCCCCCCCCCCCCCTCGGTGGCCGCCAAGGGGCAGTGTTGCCTCGCCCCAGCGGGGGGTGCTCCTCGCGCTCCCGTGGCCATCTCTATTCTGCAGGCTCTCTCTTGATCACACACACACACACCCAGGGGCGACCGGCCCGGGGCGGGTGGGGGGTGGGGAGGCCGTGTCCTGTTCGGATTCGAGCGCCAGCAGCACAGCGTCAGGTGCAGGGAGGAGGAAGGGGCAGGTGGATCGGGAGACGTAAACTCGAATTCGAGCGAATCGAGTTGGCCTGACGGGGCCATCAGAAGAGAGACGATACAGGGCCATCTGCAAACATCTCAAGGAACTGGGATGTCACAGTTCGCATCAGCACCGGCACACCTGATTTCAAACAAGCCCGAGACATACGATTCCCCGCATGGATCACGGAATAGAGGAGGAGGAGGAGGAGGAAGAGCAGGAGGAGAACCAGCACCAGGAAGGGAAGGATAGTGTAATATAGGAAGCGTGCGGCGACGCGCGCGCAGGACTACAACCAGAGTGGTGCAAGCAACAGTGCTCTTCTTGAGCTCTTTGGGGCTGGGAAGGGACGTGCCCTGCACCTGCAATGTCGTCGTCCCGTCGTCCTCGTCGTCCTCGCCGTCCGCGCCGTCGTCGTCGTCGTCGTCGTCGTCGTCCTCGTCATCCTCGTCGCCGTCCTCGCTGTTCTCGTCGTCCTCATCGTCCTCATCGTCGTCGCCGTCCTCGTCGTCCTCGCCGTCCTCGCCGTCCTCGTCGTCGTCGTCGTCGTCCTCGCCGTCCTCGTGGTTCTCGTGGACGCTGCCCTGCTTGCGCTCTGCCCTGCCCTGGCCCCGACCCCCTCGGACCCCCCCCCGCCGCGAGGGCGGCGCCCCCCTCCGAGGCCCGACCCCGCGCCCCGCTCCGTACCGAGAGGACAGGCTAGTACGCAAGAGAGGGGCATAGACGCGGGACCTCATCATCATCATCATCATCATCATCATCATCATCATCAGCATCATCATCATCATCATCATCATCATCATCATCATCATCATCATCATCATCATCATCATCATCATCATCATCATCAGCATCAGCATCAGCAGCATAATCATCATCATCATCACTATCAACATCATCACCATCACCATCATCATCATCATCAACATCATCACCATTATCATCAACATCGTCATCATCATCAACATCATCATCGCCGTCGTCAGTATCAACACAACAACCACTATCGTCATCACCATCATCCACAACATCATCATCATTACCACAACCATCATCACCAAAACACCATAATCAACAACATCAACATGCTCACCATCATCGCCATCAATCACATCCCCAACATCATGACAGCCGTCACAATCACCGTCATCACTACCATCGTCGTCATCAGCGTCGTCGTCATCATCGTTACGGTCATCAGCATCAACATGATCATCATCATCACCAGCATCGTCATCGCCACCGTCATCGTTATCATCAACATCGCCAACACAAACAATATCATCACTGTCGCCATCAACAGGATCATCACCGTCGTCATCATCATCACCATCAACAACATCATCACAGTCATCGTCATCTGAATCGTCACCCCCATGACCATCATGGCAAGACCATCCTCATCCTCATCCTCATCATCATCGTCAACCGCATCATGGGCATCGTCAACACCATCGCCATAATCAGCGGCGTCGTAATATTCATCAACACCAACGTCATCGTCATCATCACCAACGACCGTGTCATCATCATCGTCAGCGTCGTCATCAGCGTCGTCATCACAACGGTACCCATTAAAATCAGCATCGCCATCAACACCAACAGCATCGTCATCGTCATCGTCATCGTCATCATCACCATCACAATCAACGCCACCAGCCTCAGCATCATCAACTCGACCACCAGCACCACCATCATCAACATCAGTCTCGTCGTCGTCATCGGCTACGTCGTCATCACCATCGGCATTTCCATCACCATACCAGGATAAGCACCACCATTATCATCAATTCCACCATCACCACCATCACCATCATCACCATGACACATCATCATCATCATCATCATCATCATCATCATCATCATCACCATCACCATCATCGTGATAATCGTTAAACATTGTCATCAGCATCGGAGGGGGGAGGGTGTAGAGCAACGAAGCGTGAGGCGACACATGCGCAAGACTACAACGACAGCGTTGCGAACAGCAGAGCGTTTCGTCCGATCTTTGGCGACGGGAGGGGGCCCGTCTGGCCCTCCTCGCTGTCGTCGTCGTCGTCCTCGCCGCCATCGTCGTTCTCACGGACTTTGCCGTGCTTGCGCTCTGCCCTCCCTCTCCGACCCCCCCCCCCGCGAGCCTGCGAGGGCGCTCCCCGCCCCGTGCCGAATAGGCAGGCTATCACGCGAAAGAAGGGCATGGGCGCGCGGCACCAGCATCATCATCACAATTCGCATCACCATCACCATCGTCACCCCAATCATCACTATCATGATCACCTTCAACATCATCAACATCATCATCATAATCAGCATCATACGCATCATCATCATTGGCGTCATCGTCATCAACATCAGCATCATCATCGTCATTGTGATCATGAGCAACATGAACATCACCACCATCATCGTCACCGTCATCGCCGTTGTCGTCGTCACTCTCACCAGTACATCATCCGAATCATCAGCATCGTCATCACCACCATCCTCATTGGCATCGTCGTCATCATCATCACCACCATCATCACCATCACCATCATCATCAGCACCACTATTATCACCATCGTCATTACCATCAACTTCATCATCACCATCATCATCAACATCGTCGTCAACATCATCATCGCCATTGTGATCATCATCAGCATCGGCATCAGCATCATACTAGTCATCATCATCATCATCCTCATCATCGCCATCGTCACCATTACAATCACCAGCATCATCATCCGCATGACCATCGCCATCACAATCATCCACATCACCATCATCACTATCACCATCTCCCCCATCAACATCACCATCTCTGATAGGGCCACCATCACCTGCATCTGCAACATGACCTTCATCATCACCATCGCCAGCATCATCATCATCATCACCATCAGCATAATTCATCATTATCATCATCGTCATCGACATTATTATCATCAGCATAAGCACCACTCAGAATCATCATCATCATCGGCATCATCATGATCATCATCATCATGGTCACCCGCATCATCGTCATCGTCGTCGCCATCGCCATCGCCAAAGTCACCATTCAGCATCACAATCGCCACCACCATCATCCTCATCAGCACCATCATCACCATCAGCATCATCACCATCAACATCAGCATCGACATTACCATAAGCATCACCATCACCAGCGTCATCATCAGCATCGTTTCCATCATCGCCATCGTGTTCATCATCCGCATCTGCATCAGCATCGTCATCATCAACATCATCCTCATCATCATCATCATCGTCATCATCGTCATCGCCATCGTCACCGTCACCGTCACCGTCACCATCACCAGCATTATCATCACCACCACTATCGCCATCAGCATCATCATCAGCATCATGATCATCGTCCTCACTGTCGTCATCAACATCATCATCATCATTATCGACGTCGTCGTCGGGGTCGTTGTCATCGGCACCATCACCACCATGACATCACCATGACCATCCTCAGCATCAGCATCCTCCTCATCATCATCAGTATCATCAGCAGCATCAACATCATCATTACCAACATCATCATCATCATCATCATCATCATCATCATCATCATTGTTGTCACCATTGCCATGATCATCCCCGCACGCTGCGCAAGTGAGCAGTCGTCTCAGGGCGAACGCGCGGCGCGCGCCCGCGGCGGCCCGTAAAGCGGGACAGGCCTACGCGGGCGGGCCGTGCGACGCTCTCAGGCGGCCTCGTTCAACGAGGGCACCCGGGCGGCCAATGGAGGCCGCAGCAGCGCCGCAGGTCAGCCTTCGAAGAAGGAGGGAGGAGAGAGGGAGGGGGCCGAGAAGCTGCAGACGACTGCAATCAGCGGGCGCGATGGGGATAAGAAGAAGCATCCCCGCACGCTGCGCAAGTGAGCAGTCGTCTCAGGGCGAACGCGCGGCGCGCGCCCGCGGCGGCCCGTAAAGCGGGACAGGCCTACGCGGGCGGGCCGTGCGACGCTCTCAGGCGGCCTCGTTCAACGAGGGCACCCGGGCGGCCAATGGAGGCCGCAGCAGCCAAACCCAGGCTCAAAGCCCTTGCGAAGTGACAAGGTTTCGGCGGGCGGCCGCGAGCTGAATGGGCCACGCAGCCGGGCCAACATTCAGAAAGGATGCGACGAGGAGGTCGCTTGCTTCGGCGAGGTAAGGGACACGGTCCCGAGCGGCTTCAGCCAAGGATGGGAGGACTGCGGAGGCGGCAGCATCGTAAAGATAGCGCTCTGTACTGGAAGCTAGCCGCCAACGATCACGCCAGAAGACGCGATTAATGCCGTCCGAAATATCGGCTCTGAAGCGCAGCGCAGGGGACAGATCGAACCCCGATGGCGCTCTGGCGAGCGGGGCGCCCAGGGCCGAAAGAAGATCGAGCCACCGAGTACGGAAGCCGCTTTTACCGAAGGTCAAACGGGGATCGGTGGGACTCAAATTTCTAAAGACCAGCTCCATCATCCTGACCACTGCTCGGTCGGAGCACCGAGCGTGTTGACGCTGTCCGCCAGACCCCTCCGGAACAGAGATGCTCAGCAAAGCGTCGCCCGTGGACTCGCGGCGGTCAATGGGCAGAGTGAGGTCGCTCCGGCGGGCGGTTGCCAACTCACCAGGCCTAACGGACATAGTGAACCCGGCAAGCAGCAGGGTGGCCATATCAGGCCAATCCCATGCGAGGCACAACGCTACCATGGCGCGCAGCAAAGCACGCGGCAGCGGTGGGAGGGGGCAGGGAGGCTTGGAAGGGATCCACCGCTCCGCCACATCCCACGCCTCGGTGAGGAAGCCCCTCCAGTGGGGGTGAAGGGCCTGTGCTCCCCGGATCGCATTCACGAGGACGAGGCGGGGGAAGCCAGCATCGTACAACCACACGCCGAAGGTCGCGAGCGCTCTCCCAAGCAAGATGCCGCTGCGAGCCCAAGTGGCGAGTGCCACACCTGTGTGCTCGGCGCACCACACGTCAAACGCTTTAAGCGAACGAGTGCGTTGGTCGCCGCAAGAGGGGACGAGCCGAGAGTGGTTTTCCACCTTCACCCCGAGGGTCTCGGAAGCCCCCTCGGGAAGCGCAGGCTCCAGAGAGGCAGGCCAGCCCTGGCTCCCTGCCACGGAGGCTGACGCGAGCGGCTCTTGACCAGATGGATTGGCAGGAGTGGTAGCTGCCGCTCCGGCGGAAGCCCGAACACGCCTGCGCTTGCGACGCGAGGTGCGGCCGCGTTGCTCGGCGCGGGCGGCCTCGACGACCTCGCCGGTGCTCGGCGCGGCTCCCGACTGGCGGTCCGTGCCGTCCAGGATCAGAGGCCTGAGTCCTGGGGAGTGCTCGCGCCACCTGCGGTCAATAGCGCACATCGTCTCGGAAAACGCAGCCGAGCGCGTGGCGGCAGGTGCTGCGGAGCGGGAGCGGCCAACGCAACTAATGGCGGTCCGTGGCCTGACGGGCGCCGCAGAGCACAGGCGCCCGACGCCACGGCGCTCGCGCGGATGCGACGCCTGGGCGCCCGAATGAGCCCTAGCCTCGACCACGTCGCGATAGCTAGCCGTGGGCTTATCCGCACGCTCCTTCGCTTGAGCTGCGAAAGTAGCGCTACCAGCCGTGGCGGGAGCTCTCGGGGGTGCGCCGGCAGCGGCTGCGGCGGCGCCTCCACCCGAAAAGCCCGAAGCGGAAGCGGACCGTCTGACGCACTCGGCAGCGCGAGAGCAGGCGAAGCGCAACGCAGCCTTCTTGCGCTCGAGCTCGGCCAGGGTCGTCTGCAAAAGCTCAGCCAACTCTCCTGCACTTGGACCCCCAACCTCCGCGCCTCGACCGAATTCAACTTCGGTAAGAGCGGCGTCGAGAGCATCGACCGAGGCACAGAACCGTGCCAGAGCGCGCCGTTCGTCACGCACGCGCCTCGCAACCGTGGCCGTCGGGCCAACAACCCGGCCGGTACGCAGTGCTAATCCGGTGAGCGGAACGGCACGGGAGTCGGAACGGGTGTAGGCGTCAGCGAGCTGATCGGTGCGGGCGTCGTCGAGCCCCTCGGCACGCGAGTCGGCGATCAGGTCGGCGCGGGAGTCGGCGAGCTGGTCGGCGCGGGAGTCGGTGAGCTGGGAGGGCTGCAAGTCGGTGAGCTGGTCGCCGCGGGACTCGGTGAGCTGGGCGGCGCAGGAATCGGCACGCTGGCCGGCGCAGCAGGAGTCGGGAAGGCTGGAGGCCGGCGACACCTTGCTGCGCTCTGCGCTGTGGCCCCACGGAAGCACAGCCCTGAGTTGCGCCGCTCCGGCGGTGGTCGCATTGGCAGCCTGCTCGCGGGTAGCGCGCAGCATAGCCGCTGCGCCCAGCGAGCGCCCGGCCAGCAGGGCAGGCGCAGAGTTGGCGCGCGGCGCGACGCTATGGGCGTCGGCGCGGCACCCTGGCAAGGGGGACAGGGTGCTGGCTCGGAAGGGCGGGAGCGCCGCGGCCGTGGTACGGGCGGCCCCCAGGTCGGCCTCCGGGCGAGCTTGCGTGCGTCGCATGGCGGCAGTAGGCATCGCGGGGGTCTGCAACGTACAACGTGGCGCAGCCAGCGATCCTGGGTCGCTGCAACTAGCGACCGCGCTCGGCTCTGCGCCTGGAGACGCGCCAGGGGCGCTCCGACGCTCCCCTGGCACGCCGCGGAGGCGAGCACCGAGGGAGGCGTCGAGAGCCGAATCCCGAGTGGCGACCCCGCGCGAGCGGTTCGTGTCGTCACGCCTTCCCGCCGCCAAGCACCCTCTGCCCAAAGCGCGGCGAGTAGCGCCGCCAGAGGCCGGAGCATCGGGGTCGGTAACATTGCGCCCAGGCCCGAGGAGGAAGGCTTTGGCGTCACAGAGAGCGCGCCATTTCCTGCTGGCCTCGATCGACGTATCGCGGTCGGGATGGCAGGCCCAACCCATCCGTCGAAACTGAGCGTTCACGCGATCAGTGGTCGCACCGCGCTCCAGGTGGAGCAAACCGAGCGCGGCGACATGTTTGGCGGCACGATCTTGGCGGTGGTGAGTCTGAACCGTGACGGACGGACGACCCAGAAGACCCCGCAACGAAGCTGGAGCCGAGCCGTTCGCCTCCGACAGAAGCGAGACGGGGTGAGTGACCCCCTTGGGCGTACCAGGTCGAGCAGCGGCGATCGCGTCGCTCTTGGCGCGTGACCTCCGCTCGGGCGCGCCCTCTCCTGGCCCCCCACCGGCGGCACGAACCCCTCCCTGCGGGGCCGCAACAGCATCGCTGGAGGGGCGCGTGCCTACCGGTGGGGACGGCGAAGGGCTTGGCACCCGAGGGGCGGCCGGCAGGCAGTCACGGGCGCGAGAGCAGCGCGACGCGGAGAAGCTCACCGCCGCCGCGCTCGAGGGCACCTCGACGGAAACAGGAGACCCCCGGCGCGGCGCGGCGCGTGCATGTGCGTCGCGGGCCTCGGCGGAGGCCGTCGCGGCGCCCCTGTCGACCCGGGCTGGCGCTCCCACGTGGCGATCCGCAGGGTGCCCGAGCGGGCCCGCGCCCGCGGCGGGGCGGCGAGCCAGAACTTGCAGCACGAACCGGCCCCACAGACAAGCCGGGTACGCGGAGGCGGCGTCGGCGGCTGCTATCATGTCGAATCGCTCAAAGCGACCCTCGTCGATGTCAAGCAACCAAGCAGGCTCGACACGCGAGGGGGGGCGAACAGGGCGATTGCGCGTGGGGTCGTCCGCTCGGTGGACGTCGGTCGGGACGTAGAGCCCGCCCATGTAGAGCCCGCCCCCCAAGATGTAGGGCAAGCAAGTGCTCAACACATGCGAAAGGCCAGGGCTGCTGCTCCGACCGTGGGCGGCCGCGCCTAGTGCCACTTGAGAATCCAAGAGAACAGGGATCCGTGAGTCAGGGTTGCGGATGCAACAGTACTTGCACAGACTCTTGAACACGGTGGTCTCCAGGATATTGATGTGGCGGGGCGTGCGGAATTCCCACTTGTAGGCCAAACGGAAACGCAGCGCCTCCGACAGCTCACTGACCCAGTGCGGTGCGATAGGGAGCTCGAGGGAGGGAAGCCCCGCCTCGTGGTGTATCTGGGTCAGCTCGGGGCCTAAAGGTTCCCCGCGGCTCAGAACCATGAGCAAGTGGCGGTCGTGGAGACGAGTATGCCAGCCGCCGTGCTCGGAGCGCCGCCACAATTCTTGTGACAGGTGCGAACTGATGTCGCCGCGGACAACCCCGCCCCAGCCGAGGGAGGCATCCGTGCCGAACACTTCGGGGCAAGGCGTCGCCCGAAGGTCGGTCATCGCAACGAAGGCAAGGTAGGTGCAGGCTTGCAATTCGTCGCGAACCGAAGACGGGAGCTCATACTCAAGCCCGTCGTCGGGAAGTGTCGTGATGAAGGTGTAGATGTGAGTGAATATCGACAGGATGGGGCGTCGATACAAAAACACCTGCACCCAACAGCCCACGAGCGAGCTCAACAACGCCCGGGTCGAGCGACCGAGGAACACCTGGATCAGAGTCAGGCGGCAAAGGGCCACAGTGCGAACCAGGGGAGCACACACTATGCCGATCCTGCCCTCCACCTCGGCGCCGACAACGACCTTGTGGGTCTCGCCCCTGGCTCTCTTCCCGGGGTGCTGAATGAGACCCACCTGGGGGTAGCCGCGATCGCACGCAGCAAATACCTCCCTGTCGCGGCGTGCCGGGTCGTCGGGGCGCGGGGCGCTCCCGCGCCACGAAAGCTTCTGAAAGCCCGTGTGGTCGTCGATGTTTAACATCTCGACGAACGGCCCCCGAGGGAACGGCAGGCGATGCACAGCCTGCTCGGAAGGCCGGAGCGCGCCGAAGCTGCGCAGCACGCCCTCGTGTGCGGAGTTGGCGATCTCCACTGCCATGTTGTCACCCATGGCCAGCGCATTAAGACAGGGAGAAACGCCCAACCCCTCAAGGTCTTCCCGCCACGCGTTGAAGCCTCTGAACCGTGAGCTAGGTAGCTTGACGCGGAGGGCGTTGCGGCGTGCACGAGCGGGCGGGACCTTGAACGTGTAGTAGAACTCGCGCAGGTCGTCACACGAAACCACCAGCCATTCCCCGGGCGCGAGCCCCAGGCGGCACAGGAGAAAACCCTGGCCAAGGCGCTGAGTGCTGGAGGACACGCTGTTGCAACGACTGTTTACTACCGTCGGATTCAGGATGAGACGGTCGTAAGCCTCGTCCTTCGGGACCCTGAACGCTCCACAAGCCTCGTCCCAGGCGAGATCGTCGGAGGGAGTCAGATACAGGGCGCCACAAGAGTCCCACTTGCGCAGGAGCTCCCACAGCTGCTCGCGGTCCATGTGCACACGAGCACCCGAAAAACCCGAAGGCCACTCGTCCTCTGGTAGCCGCATGACGTCGGGGTCATGAAAGGCGGAACGTACCAGATCGCCGGACAAGTACGGAGTGGGATCAAACGAAGGAGAATAATCCCACTTGATGCGGGACGCTTGGACCCGAAGGTCGAAAGGCTCAGCCTGGGTGGAGTCCCAGCCTGCCGCGGCCGCCAATGAGCTAGCCAGGGGCGTCGCGCTGACGGGGAGTTGCCGCATGGGGGCGGGCACTTGTGAGGAAGAGGTGAACGAAGCCTCAAGAGCTGCAACATGGGTAGCCAGGCCATGGAGCGAGACTTCGGTGGAGTCGAACTTGGCGAAAGCCCGACCAAGGTCGCTCCTGCCACCGCGGGCAAGGCGAACTGCGATCCGACACAGACGCTCGAGGCGACTGCGAACCCCCTCCTGGCAGGGTGTGACCGTTTCCCGCACCCGAGCTTCGGCGGGAGCGAAGCTGGGATGACCCAGGGTGAGCCAGTTGAGCGCAACGACAGCATGCTGCGACAACGTGCGGGCGGCGCGCCTCACACGCCAGCGCTCCCGCGCGCGACCTGTAAGGTGACCAGGTGGCGGCGGAAGAGGCGGCGGGGGAGGGCACGGCCATGGATCGCGGGGAGCCGACTCCAACAGGTACGAGTCGTCCCAATCCGACGCGCAGAGGGATGTGCGGGTAAAAACGGCAAGGGAGCATCGAGTCCCCATCCCGACCTGGGCAAGAGCAGCAGCCCAGTGGGTGACGTCGATGTTGGCGCCTGGGAACAGGCGCAGCAAGGCGGATAGGTCGGCCACGAAAGGCGCAGACCTCCCAGTGCAAGTGCTGGCACGCGACGTGCCAGGGAAAGGGCAAAAAGCGCTGGGCGGAAGGCACGCCTCGCCGCCCTCGCTAGGGCCAGAATGGCCAGAGAAAGTGGGGTGAATGCTTGGGGGCGAGCGAGGATCACCATGGCGGCGCGCGCGGGGACCTGCGGCGCAGGAATTGGCGCGCTGCAGCTGCGCACGCCTACCATCGCGACTTCGCTCTGACCAGAAGCGGCGGGCGGCGGCCGAGGGATGAAATCTTCCTAGCGGCGGCCGAGGTCCCCCGGCCCCCCGTTCGACCCGCCCAGCTTTGGCTGCACCTCCGCGATGGGAAGAAGAGGCGCCTGGGTCGGCGGGGCCGGCACGGACTCGCTCGGGACTCTCTCGGTCCATGGCAGGGTTGCCGACCGCTCGGAGCCGAGGGACCTCGACGGGGGCTCCTCCAGCCGCAGAAGGCACCAGAGCGGGCGGTGCAGAGCGCGGAATGGCTGCCGCCTTCTCGCGAACGCTCCAGTTGAAGCGCGAACAGCGGCCCTCCAGGGCACGAGCCCGAGAAGCGGCCCCCGAAACTGCACCGGAAAGGACGTCAGTAGGCGAGGCAGCGACACCGGCGAAGGCGGGGGCGTCAACGGAATGGCACCTACCTTCGACGGTCCGACGACCCCGCCGCCCTCCACGCCGAGTGCGGACCCGACGAGCGCGTCGGGGCCTGGAGGAGGGGAGCGCGGCCTGGGTGCAGGTGAGGGGGGATAACCAGGAGGCCTCTTCCCCCAAACACCCGCCAGCACCGACGCTGGGCTGCCGACCTGGCGCCCGAGGGGAAGCTGGCGAGGGGCGGTCGGAGGGAGCATGTCTCCGGAGGGCGTCCGCCAACGAAGGGGGCGAGCCTGGCAGGGACGCGGGGGGGGCCCCACGTACCCCGATCGACCACGGCAGGTCGCGAGGGCTCGAGCTGGACGCATTGCTCGCCAGGGGCCCTGCGCTCGCAGCAGAGGCGCTCTGAGTGGTTTCCGCCGGCGCCGAAGTTGGACCTGGCGGGGATGCGGGGGGATCCGCGCGAACCCCGAGCGACCGCGGCGGGTCGCGAAGGCCCCAGCGAGCCACTCCGCTCGCAGGAAGCCCCGCGTTTGCAGCAGTGACTCCTTTGAACGACAGCGGGGGCTCGCCTGCGGAGGCAGCGGGAACAGAGGCCGCGATGGAGCCACTCGACGCGACCCCACTTCCTCCGCTACCGAACGCGGCTGCGGCGGGCAAAGGAGTCGCCTGGCGAGCAGTCGCTGCGACAGCCCCCAGAGAAACAGCGGCGACGGCGGCGGGCGCCGTCGCAACCGCCGCCTCGTGACGTGGAGGGGCTAACAGAGACAAGGTCGCATCGCCGAGTCGCCCGAGCGAGCGCAACCCTTCGCGGGCGCTTGACTGGGGAGGTGGCCCTCCGGCAGCTGGCGCGCCGACACCGCCCTCGAGGTTAGTGAAAGGCAGGAGCCCTGCACGCTCACCATACCACATGCGCCCACGGGCAGCGCCCGCCCGAAGTGAGGCGGGACCAACCGCGCTACGGTGGAGCGGCGGCGGCGCATGAACATCCGCTTCTGGGACGGCAACTCCGGACGGTGGCCTCAGTTGCCTGGCCTGGGAGGGCGAATCCCCGGAGACACGATGCCAGTCCGCGCTCAGGGGTGTTCCGCTGGCCGCGCGGTCACCGTCGGCGACCGTGAAGCGCTCGGACAGAAGTGGCGACGCCGCAGTGCACGGCATACTCCCGCTGCTAAACAGCTGCACCCCATCCGAGGCAAGGGCCGCGCGGAGGTCGACCAAAGGCGGCACCCGTGAGCCTGCTTCGGAGCCGGAGAGGCCTGGCGGCGGATCCACACCCTGAGTGTCGGAGCCCGTGTGCAGGTCCCACAAGTGGAGGTCGGCGCGTAAGGCCGAGGTGGCCCTGGGGCCGCTCCGCGGCGGGGTGCCAGGCTGGTGGACTGCGGTGGCGGCTGGGGGGGCGGTACGAGCCCCTCCCTGCGGGGCCGTATCAGCATCGCTGGCAGGGCGCATACCAACCCCTTTCGAGCCACACCGCGGCGCCGCCCTCGAAAAGGAGGGACTACCCCCGTCAAGGCCGCAGTCGGACATGGCCGCCGAAGAACCCCGAGGAGGGACGACGGAGCACCCCGCCTCCACCAGGGCCAACGCACCGCTCCAGGGGCGACCCTGTGGCGGCGGAGGCGGCGTCCTCAGTAGAGGAAGCGCGGCCTCTGACGCCGTGGCCCCAGGTCGGACCTGATAGACGACCGTGGGGCTCCAAGCCGCAGCCGCGCCACGGCGCGGGCATGCCGCACTGAGCCTCTGGGAACCAACCTCCAAGACGTCAAGGCCCGGAGGCGGCCCAATCTGCCTGACCGGAGGCCCAGGAGGCAGCGGGTCCAAGCCTGGAGGTGCGCGAATGTATCCGCCCCCGGCGGTCCGAGCAGCATCGTCGGCAGAAGTGGCCGCGGCGATGCTTCCAGCCGAAGGCCAGGAAACCGAGGCGGCGGCAGAGCCCGCGTGCCCCGCGAGTGACGCTCCCCCGCCCACGGTGGAGCAGGCGGGGCCCACAAAGTGGTCGCCATGCCTAGCGGCACAGGTGAGCCAGGTGGCGGAGTAGAGGCAAGGAGAAGGAGTTGGGGGGAGGTAAGAGAGATCCTCGTCCACCACTTCCCTTCCCAAGAGCGCAGTTATCTTCGCAGGGCACCCCTCTGGTGCTTCGGCGTTGAACACGCTGGCATTGGGTTCGCTGGCAGCAGGAATGGCGGGCATGGCTTGCGCGGCGGCTGAAGCCCTTGGGCGGCGCGTCGGAGCGCCTTTGGCCACTGTGCCCTCCGTCGGGCGTCTCTGTCGCGGCGGCTGAAAGTCTTGCGTAGAAGCGGCGGCTGAGACCCCAGGCGCGGCGGCACCTTGAACGCCCGAGACGAGGGCTGGCGCTGCGCCACGACGCAAGGCGTGGCGCTGCGGCGTGTGAGGCCCCCCTCCTACTCCTCTCCTCAGATGGGCCTCCTGCTCCGCCGCCCCAAAGGCCAAGGGGGAGAAGGCGAAGGAGGAGGGAGAGGAGTTTTGCGCCGAAGTCGGCGTGGAGAGCGCCGAAGACCACCAGACTGGTGCAGGCTGGAGAGACCTGCCAACGGCAGGACGTGGCATGGGCCCTGTCCGCACCGCCCGCCGAAGAGCGAGCAGCGACGGTGCTAGCAAGGCCCAGTGGCCACGGCAGGCAGGGTGCCGAAAGGCGCGCCTGCCCGACCGACCACCGCTCGGAACGGACGGTCGGCCCCGACGCTCGCTCTCGTCGTACGGGCCACAGGCGCCGGCCCGACCGACTTGGGCCAGCGCGGGGTGGCGAACCCGGAGCCGACGATCGCCGCGTAGGTGTCGAGGAAACCTGAACGGCGATGGCCCCGCGGGCCCCTGGCGCCCCGGCCGCGCGCGCGCGGGGAGGGGAGTGGGGGGCGAGCGGGGCAGCTATCGGGCCGAGAAGCTGCAGACGACTGCAATCAGCGGGCGCGATGGGGATAAGAAGAAGCATCATCGCCATGATGTCGTCATCATTGTCATCACCATTGTCATGACCATCATCATCGTCGTCATCATTGTCGGCACCACGTCATGATTATCATTGTCGTCACCATGTCCGTCTCATCATCATGATCATGATCATGATCATCATCATCATTAACATCATCATCGTAATCATCATCGTCGCCATCGTCATCGTCATCCTTATTATCACCAGCATCAGCATCATACTCATCATCATCATCACCATCATCATCGCCATCGCCATCGTCATCGTTGTGGCCATCATCCTCACCACGATTATCCTCATCATCATCAACAACATCGGCATCATCATCGCCACCACCATCAGCAGCACCATTACCATAGTGTTGATAATCATTGTCATTGCAATCCTAAACAGCATTGTCATAATGATCATGGTTATGACCATGATCATTATGATGATAATCATAATGATCAACATCATCATCACCATCATCATCGCCAGCAACAGCATCAACCTCATCATCAACAACATCCTCATCCTCATCCTCATCCTCATCCTCACCCTCACCCTCACCCTCACCCTCACCCTCATCCTCATCCTCATCCTCATCCTCATCCTCAACCTCAACCTCATCGTCATCGTCATCATCATCATCATCATCATCATCAGCATCAGCATCAGCATCAGCATCATCATCATCATCATCATCATCATCATCATCATCATCATCATCATCATCATCATCATCATCATGGTCATCATCATCACGGCTCCAACAAGCGTGTGGGCACGAGGTGTCACTCGTGACGGCCTCCCGTGTCCCCTCAAACAGTCGCCACCCAGAATGCTAGGCTGACACGGTGGCGGGCATCTGGAGAAACGAAAATGGAAGCTGGACGCTGGCTTTTCGTATTATCAGCCACCTCCGGAGTCCACAGGTCCACGGGGATCTCAGTTGCAACTCGCCGACTGGTTGTTCGCCCTCTCTGTGCATCTTCCTGCAGGCCCCCTCGTCGCCCACGGCTGGGTTCGGCCAGAACGCACTCCAAGAGAGGTCCAACTGCAAATTTTGTCTGAACCGCGAGACGGTGCCGGACTCTCCCCCGCGAACTCGCTCCTCCCCTCTCGCGTGGCCACAGGGCTAGTGGATTGATCCAGAACTTCAGGAAGCGATCTAGCAGCGACTGCACCACGTCCAATTGGACGTGCTCTGAGCGCCAACCCCTGGCATGGGGCCAACGGAACCTGACGTTACCTTTTGTTGATTCCTGCGTAGGCCCGAAAAAGTGGACAGGACCCACCCTCACTTCACATGCTGGTCCCTCCTCCTCTTCCTCCTCCTTTGAAAGCCTCCCAAATGGGGTCCGAATGACTGGGGTCGGAAGATCGGGCCGCATCATCAATGCATCGGCGACGCTTCACCGCTGCGCAGGCGATGCATCGGCACCGTCGGGGTGGAGAAAGCTGGGCCCCATGCCGAGCCGCATCGCCGACGCATTGGCGATGAAGCACGATGCTCTGGCACCGTGTACCGCAGCCTCGTGTGTCGGCTACACGCAAGAGTGACCGTAGGCAAGAGCGACCTCTGGTGGGCGACTCGGAGGGGCCCCGGGGGGCCCAATTCCAAACGCGCAAGTCGGTGCTCGTGGGGCCACTGTTCGGAGGAACGAAAAGATGGGGTAGGGGCAGAGGTGAGGATACGTACAGGAAGCCGCTCTAAAAGGGAACTAGAACAAGAATTGCGAGCATCCAGCTGGGTTCGCTCCCTAACCCCACCTTGGGAGAAACCCCCCTCTACGAATCCCCGAACTGTGGGCCCGAACCAAAGGTCACTCCCGTCGTCGTCGTCGTCGTCGTCGTCGTCGTCGTCGTCGTCGTCGTCGTGGAGCCGAGTTTGGGAAGCCTGGACTCTCGCCCAGTGCTGGACCCTCCTCCCCGCCCCTCCCCTGGGGTGGCAAAGAGGCACCGCGGCGGCGGCGGGGTCGCCGCCAGTCGACATGACGCTAACCTACCGTACTCCCCTGGACCTCTCTAGGGGTGCGTTCTGACTTGACCAAGCCTTCGCTAAGCCTCTCCAGGGGTTTTGCATGGGAAAAAACTGGCCATGAGGGCAACGGGTCCTGGACCCTGGGGCCCCAGGAAGCCACGAACGGCGAAAAATCCGAGGACCCGTTTCCCTCAGGACTGAGGGGCAACGATAAAGGGGGACTGGCATAGGGGGGGACACATCGACCTGGAATCCGCGATACATCGCCGATAGATCGGCGATAGGCCCCGATAGAGAAGCCGCACCTGGCTGAGCGAGTTGGGGCTATCGGGCCGCCATCGGCGATCAAGGGCCACTGGGGGTCGATGCATCCCCCCCTATGCCTATCCCCCCCCCCTTTCGTTGCCCCCGAAGGACCCGTTTCACACATGGCGACCTCTCCGGGGGGGGGGGGCGGGGCGTCCTGACCAGGCCTTCACCTCGCCATCGCTTGGACGTCCATTCCCTGTGTTTCTTTCGGTTTCGTGCGTGGCTTTTTCGCCAAATGATCAAGGATGCTCCTCGATGGTCCTCGCCGAAGGAAAAATGCACACGTCCGAGCGATGCCAAGTCACCGGACCTCTCGGGGGGGGCCTCCTGACCAGGCCTTCGAGGTGAAGTCCATTCGGGGCGACGGGGGGTAGGGCGGCGGCAGCGGCACCTTTGCCTCCTCTGGCCCTCGAGTGCGCGCGGGCACGCCGTCGTCGTCGTCCTCGTCGTCGTCGTCGTCGTCGTCGTCGTCGTCGTCGCCGCTGCCGTCGCCGTCGCCGCCGCCGCCCACGTCGTTTCGGCTGCTCTCTCGCGCGCGTGCGCAAAGGTTCGCCATTGGACCCTCGCCGCTCCTCCCCGCTCGGGCTCCCCCCGCGCGCGCGCACGCGTCCCTTCTTTCTGCCCCGCCTGCGCGCGCGGCGCCATCTCGGCGCGGGACTTCGGCCGCAAAGTCGGGGGCTCGCCGAGGGCCCGCTCCCCCGTGCGGGGGCGCGAGCTGACCTCCCCACCCCCTGAGGGGCAACGATAGGAGACTGGCTCCTGAGCGTGGAGAAGATCGACCTGTACTCGGCGGTACATCGCCGATCGGTCGGCGACGCGATAGCGAATCCGTCCGCTCCTGGGCGGGGTGGGCTATCGGACCTGGATTGGCGATCAGTGGGCCATGCAGGCCCCCCCTGAGCCTGTCCCCTAAGATCCGACGCTGCCAAAAATTTGCAGAATCGCAAACAAATTACGACCAGAGCCCCAGAACCCCTCTCTGCGTGATTTTTCGCGCCGGATCGATCTGTGAGGGTCCTGGGGTCCGACACTGAGCGAAAACGCCCGTTTTGAAAAAATGCATCGCCAAGATCTCAGGGTCCCCCCTAACGTTGCCCCCTGGCCTCCCTGGGGGCCGCCGTCGCCGGTCGTTCGCCCGTTCGCGCGCGGCCAGCGGGCAGGGCTGGTCCCTCCTCGTGGTTGCGTGATCACCAGCCCCGGACCAAGACAGCATGATTGCTCATGTTGGATACACAGTCGGCCCAAGGGCAGAAGCACATCATTCAAGACCATGAGACCCTCCGCTGGCAAAAATGAAGAGCATTCGAGGGTACCCTTCCCCAGGATGCACAAGAACATCCAACAAACACAAAGAGCATCAGAGTACCCTCCCCGAACCGACCTCGATTGTATACCTCGGTACGACTGTAAGTTGATAAGTACCTCTCTGAACCACGTCTACATCGCAGAGCGATAGGGGTGGGACTGGGAAGGAACATGCCACTCCCCGGCCGAAACCGTGCCACAACTGCGGACACCACGAACGCCGCGGCGACCTCCTAAACCGACCCGGAGTCTTGGCTCGGGGCAGCATATCACGCAACGATCTTTGGGGCAGCCAGCCGCGAATCTCCCGACGGAAAGCTCCGCCAAGAAATGCATGACACTCCCTTCGAATCCATCCATCCATCCATCCATCCATCCATCAATCGGTCCATCCGGGCCTCCGCCAGGCGGATGCGCAATTCCATCCATCCGTCTGGATTCCGTTCCATGGAAACCCGTCCTGAAACGTAGCTTATCGGAACTCGGCTCGAGAAAACTGAGCGGTAAATTGGGCCTTGGCAACACGCCAGGCTGCCTCAGGGGCAGTCCCGGCCGTCCTCCTTCTCCTTTCACACCATCCCTCATCGCTCATCGTCCCCGTCGTCCCTCCTTTCCTCCCATCATCATCACCATCACCATCATCATCATCATCATCATCATCATCATCATCAGCATCATCAGCATCAACATCATATTCATATATGCATACTCATATTCATCATCAACATCCACCCTCCTGTCCTCGTCATCCCTTCTCCTCCAGGGAAGGGAAAGCTGAGCGGAAAGGGAGGGAGGACAAGCGACAGATAGGGCAATAGGCGGGGGGGTGGTTCAGGACATGAGCAGGACGTCAGAAAGAGGAGCAGGAGGACGATATGCAAATGATGTTGATGGCAAATATTGTTTCCATCGCGTTTTTTTCTGTGCGCGGTGATTGGCTGCCTCAACGACAGCTCAAGATTCCGCATGAGGGTCGGGACAGATTTGGGGAGGTGCGTTACCGAAAGCGCCAACAGTCTTTAGAAGCACGCACGTCGCATTGCAATTGTGTTGCGCTGTTGCTTGCTTGTGTGTTGCGTTTGCGCATGTGTTTGCAATTCACTCGTCTGCGCGTCGCTTGAATGCGCCAACTTGAGCATACGAGTCTTCGTTTGAGTCGGGAGTGTTTGGAAGCTGATCAGGTACGGTGTGGCATCAATGCGCCAACGGCGATGAAACGACATACTACAAGCGTGCCTGTTATGTGGTGCGCTGCACGTGGCTACCTCAACGCGGGCTTACAATTCCGTGTGTGTGTGTGTGGCACGGGAACGTTCTGGGTAGGTCCAGGGCGGGTGTGGCGCCAACGCGCCGACGATCAAGACGCTAAACGCACATGTGGCTGCATGTTGGCTTGCGCTGCTTACGCAACCAACTTAGGGCTGCAGTCCCCAACACTGACAGTCCTTGAATCCTTTCTTAAGATTGAGCTCGGATGCCCTTGCTTCGCGAAAGTCGAACGTGGCTTCAGACAAGAAGGGTGGATGTCAAAGGACCATAACGCGAAACACTATGCTTGAGCATTGCGAGTCTCACAACATGTCGGCGCTGCATGCTGCTGCAATCAGTATTGTGTTCGCCGATGTGAAATTCGATGCGGTGCTGCTGCCCAGTTCGGATTTCCTGTTAGGATGCGTGTTTGCTAAGTTGCGTAGTCGTTGCCATGTACATCGGGCATACTTTCGGGAAAGTCATCGAGGAAGTGGCGTTCAAGCAGCCAACGACCATAGAAGCAGTTCTGGGATTCGATAACATTACATGTGGAGCAGGGACAGCCAGCATGTACTCATACATCCGAATGGCGGAAGGGGGTATGAATGTGAAACGAGCAAGGCTGAGATAAGCAGGATTAGGATAGTGGTCACGGAGGCACGCTTGAACCAAATGAGAATTGCCAGAACGATGAGATGCACGGTACGCAACAGAAGGGGATCGGATGGAGAAGGAGACACGTGAGAGAGAGAACACGCAAAGCGAGAACGAGGATGAGGATTTGAAAAGAAACGCCAACCGAAATCAAAACCAACGGACATATCGTCAGGGCCACGTGGAGAAAATGACGGGTTCGGTGGGAGATGGACGATACCGTAAAACAATATGCTTCAACAGTTCAACAGACCTGTCAGTCCATCTGCCCCAGGACAAGGAAAGCACTGGGGCATGACAACTTGTCGCTTCAAGCGGCTCAACGCAGGGAAGAGATGAAAGGATAATGGCACGGGGAGGGGCAGGGGGGAGGGACAGGGGACGGAAAGGGGGGAGGGAGACAGGAGGACGCACGAGGTGTTGACACAGGTGAGGAGAGGGGATGTACATGGGCGGGGGGGATGGGGGTGGGGGAGAAGCCAGGACGGGGGAAGAGAAAGGACGGGAAGGGGAGGGTGTGAGACGACGGGTGTGGGGGGGGGCTCCTGCCTATCGTCATCCTGCTCCTCCTGGCACACTTCCTCCTGCTCCTCCTTTGCCCTCCTCCGTCCTCCTGCGTCCTCCTCCACGTCCCTCCCCCTGGCTACTGCATCGCAACATACAAATTCTGACCCCTGCTCACCGCCCCACTCCTGCTGCTCCTCTAGCTCTCCCTCGTCCTCCTCCTCCTCCTCCTCCTCCTCCTCCCCGCCCCTCCGCCGTACTCGTCCCTCCCTCCACTCCTCCTCCGCCTCGTGCCGCTTGCCCACCTGTGGGATATTTATCACCAGCGGTAGGTCATCGTCACCTGAACCTGCGAGGGAGGCCCGCGACAGGCGGCCGGGAGGTGCCCTGTCATCGTCACACTGCTTTTGGCACGTCACACAACGAAAGCTCGAAGCGTCAGCTCGTCGTCATCCTCCGCCTCCGCTTCTCTCGGGGGTGTCCACGAGATGAGGGGGACGTCCACGAGGGGGTCTGACAAACACTGACCCCGAGGCATGTGCGCGGACGAATGGGAGCCCAGGGAACGCCTTTTGAAAGGAGAGGAAGAAGAGGACGAAGAAGAAGAAACAGAAGAAAAAGGAGAGGGGAGCGGGCACGAAAGCCAGGGAGATGTGATAGCCCTGGCCATGAGATCCACACCCCCCGCCATCGACACGCACTGCGTAATGCGCAACCTTAAGCAGAGCCCAGAACCGACCAGAGGGGGGGAGAGAGAGAGAGAACACAAAAAATAGAGCGAGAGAGAGAGAGATACATCACTATATCGAGATGAAGAGAGAGAGAGAGAGAGGAGATGGATAACAACACGAAACATCTATACATCTATACATATAGACAGAGAGAAGGGTATGGGCAAGGATCAGTGGTCCTAGCTCGAGCCATGCCCAGTAGAGGAAACATGATATGGGTCCACCCTTCTGCCCCTCGCCGCTGCGCCTGCGCCTCCTGGCGCGACTCTGCAGGGTTGGAACACAGGGCTGGCTCATCTTGTCCTTGTCTTCCCCACTTACCTCTTTACAATAGGAGCTCAAACCTAAGTTGCCCTCCACAGAAACCCAACCCTGAGACCCCAGGACGTCGATTGGTGTTTGGTGTGGGGACGTCACCCTATTCACAACAAAACTATCGAAACCCAAGAACCCAGGGCACCCTGGATGCAGGCAGGGTGTTTATTGGTATGGGTTTCCACTGTATGAGAACCGCGAAAGTATACACCAAGGTATCCAGGCCCTGTCAGATGAGGCTTCGCGGAGACGCCACAAAATAACATATAGTGTACAATCTCATGGAGGGTTCTCTGAGCGACAGGAGTAGTAACAGATGTATACACTGTGGTTGGGCCACCATTTGCCACTGAGTGGTGGACACAAATGCCTGAAGGCCTCTTTGAAGGGGTTCGAGTAGATGGGGCCGGAAGATTGCACCGCATCGACGATGCATACGCGATGCATATGCGATGCATTCGCGATGCATCGCCGACGTCGGCGTGGAACAAAAAACGGGTCCCACATCGAGCCACATCGCCTATGTATCGGCGATGCGGCGCCATCCTCTGACCCCGTCTACTCAGACCATATCTGGAAGGCCTGGAACACCTAGGACTGAAGCACATCCTCCACGAACATGAAACACTCCGCCTGCCAAAGCACCCCCATCCATAAGCGCTTGCAAGGGTGCCCTCCCCCAGGATGCACAAGAACGTCCAACAAGCACGAAGAACATTACGGCACCCTCCCCGAAAAGACCTCGATCTTATACCTCGGTCCGACCGTCGCTCCTTCAACCCCCACAGCCCCTCAGGGCTCCTGCCCGCGCGGCGGGGGCGGCGCGGGGCGGGGACCTTGAGCAGGGCCCCGCTGGCCCCGCCGGGGCAGTCGTGCAGCGGAAGCTCCTGGCGCCGGGCGCTGCCAGGGGGCCCTACGTGGGCCATGGAGACCTCCTGTCTGCCTCTTTGAACCAGGCTCGAGCCGATCCCTATCCCTAAGACGGGCAAGCCAAGCGACGACAGTCTTGGGGATGTGCCCTCAGAAACTGAGGGGATCCTTGAGATCGGCATCGAGGTAAGGTGATACCAAACATCGGGATAGGGTCAATTTTGCTGACGGTTCTGGCGCCTTCATGTTCCTGGTTTCGTCGCCGGGTGTTCTCCAATGCCTGTTCTGGCTCCTATCCCGGAGCTGTGTGCTTCCTGCTTCCACGGACGACCATTTGAACCGTTTAGGCGATTCTATACAAACGAAAACGGCCCTGCCGCATGCGGGGCCCGCCCCCATCCCCCCTCTCGGCATGTAAAAAGAGTACCATACACCACGGGAGAGAGGAGGGAGTTCTGTCGTCCCGATTGGAGCGTGGACTCCAGCCAAGACCATCCCGAAGCACGACCGAAGTCCACGCGGAACCCCCGGTCGGCGCGCCACGCCCCTCTCTACACAGCCCCCTCCATGATCCCTCCTCCCTGCGGCGTCCCTTCCTCCCCCTCCTCAACCTTCCGTTTCTTCCTCCCCCTCTCCTGCCTCCTCTTCCTCCTCCTCCTCCTCCTCCTCCTCCTCCTCCTCCTCCTCCTCCTCCTCCCTCTCCTCGTCCTCCGTCTCCTCCTCCTCCTCCACCTCTTTTTCCTCCTCTTTCTACTCTTCTTTCTACTCCTCCTCCTCCTCCTCCTCCTCCTCCTCCTTCTCCTCATCCATACCCTGTTGCTCATGGGCAACTCCTCCTTGTCGCACCACCAAACATGTGTTAAGAAGCTCCGGGCCATTTCCTCACGGCTCGCGATACCCAACTTGAAATTTGCAGCAATTCGACAGAGCTGTCTGGAGGGCGAACGAGCCGCTTTCAAGAGTGGGAGCCGCGCGCAGTCGCCTCTAGCAAATCCAACACGTGCGCGAATTGAGGGCCTTTACTCCGAGTGCCTCAAGAGTTTCGGGCCCCCGGGCTACAAGGGCCTCCCAGACAGAGCACAAGGGCCCCTCCCCCGGACTACCATGGCCCCCCCCTGGACTACAGGGACCCCCCCCAGAACTACAAGGACCCCCCCCTGGACTGCAAGGTCCCCCCCCCGAGCTGCAGGGACCCACCCCTTGCTGGACAACAAGCCCCCCCAGACTACAATCACCCCCACCCAACACAGGAGATGCTACGGGTTGCCAGTGACAGATGTCGGGGCCGTTGTCTCGAAGAAGGGCTCCTCGCACGCGCGCGCGTTGCAGCAGCGGAATCGCCGCGTTGCTTGCCGACGGGATTGCGCGCGCTTGTGCAAAGCGCATTGTCTGCGTTGTCTCCCCCCCCCTCTGGACTACAGGACCCCCCCCCCGAACTTCAAGGGCCCCCCTCCCCCCCCCCCGGACTACAAGGCCTCCCTGGAACCGCACCCCAGACTACAGGGCCCGCCACCCCTGACTACAGGGGCCCCCCTGGACTATTGGTCACCCAGGAACTATTGAGGTACTCGAAATATTTGTCAATCCGCCACCGTGCCCCTGTGCCCTAAACAATCAAATCTCTTAGGGTTTGCCGCGTGCCCTCTGGGAGATCGAGTATTCCCGCGTGACTTGTTGTGAGCCAAGAGGGTGCCAAGACGGGCCAAGAGACCAAAACGAGGCCGCCCAGACGGTCCACGGGTGCCCCGAAATCGCAACGCCTCCAAGAGGGCTTCAAGATGGCCCAACAAGCCTTCGAGAAGCCCGAATAAAGCTCCATGACGGCCAACGAGCCGCCCAAGACGGCACAAAAGGGCCCAAAGACAGCCCCAGAAAGGTCGAAGAGGGGGAACATCAACCGAAAATCCGAGTCGCCCGCCACAAAAAGGCCACCAGGAGGCCCCAACAGGCATCCATGAGGCGCAAATAGGCCGGCAAGAGGCCCTAAGAGGCTCCCAGGAAGCCGCTGAAACTCGCTGGTCCCAGCGCTGTCAGCTTGGGTGGAGAGCGCCAGGCGGGCCACCACGGAGGCCCCACGGGAGGAGAGAGGGGTGTGGAGTGAGGAGGAAGTGGCGGGCGGGGGGAGGGGGAGGAGGAGGGATGGGGAAGGCGGGAGGAGGGGGAGGAGGCAGGCGGGAGGATGAGGGAGTGAGGGAGTGAGGGAGGGAGGCCAGAGGAGGAGGCAGTGAGGGAGTGAGGGAGGAATTCCGAGGGAGGAGGACGGGGTCGGAGTGACGACGCATCTCCAGATCCCCGACGTAGTGTTTTTCAAACCGTCGACCCACATTGGGGTGCATAGACAGAAAAACTCGGAGGTCCGCGCGGATTTCTCGGAGCGGCGCTGGACCTCCCTCCACGGCGCGCGGAGCGCGCCGGGGGCGGCGCCAAAGGCTCCGCCAGGGGGCCCCAGCGCAGATCCGAGGAATCCGCGCGGACCTCCGAGTTGGTATGCTTATGCCCGTGTTTGTTCCCCCGAAACCGTCGACCCCGAAAGATCTCAGGGAAGAACCTCCTTCCGCGAGCCGCTCCTGCTCGCCGGCGTCCCCGTGCGGCGCCAGGTTCACGCCGAGCAGCCGTGCGCGCCCGACCAGCCGCCTGCCACCCGCGCCGGGGTCAGGAGCGGGGAGGGGGGGGAGAGAGGAAGGAGGAGATCGCAACGGATCGGGAGAGAGGAGTGAAGAGAGGGGAGAAGGGAGGGAGGAGAGAGGAGGGAGGACAGAGGTGAGAGGCAAGAGGGAAGAGGGAGGAGGGAGAGAGGAGAGAGGAGGGAGGAAGGAGGGAGGGAAGAAGAGGGAGGGAGGAGAGGCGGGGGGGTGAGGAAGGCGCCCTCCATTCTCATCCGCCCCCTCTTCCTTCCTCAGTGCTGGCCGTCCCTCCCCTGGTCGTACCAGGGGCCCCTGATCTTCCGGTCTGTGCCCCATGTGCGGTGGGTGCCGGTGGTGGGCCGCCTCTACGTGGGACTTCACACCCCCGCACTGAGTGGGCTCTTCGCCCACCGTTGTCCTCCCCCCCTCCTCCCCCGCTCCCTCCGCGGATTGCAGCTGGCGCCCGTCCACCATGGTGCTTTTCGGCAAGTCTCCGTCCACACCTTGAGGGCCGGCGAGTTATGCCCCACCCCCACCCAGGCCACAGAAACTGAAAATGTTTGGGCCCGTGTTTCGAAAGCCGAAATTGGCATCAGCTCTAGGCGCACACAGGGTCCGTTCCCTCAGCCTGCTCTGCAGCGTTGGCGTCTGAGTCTCATACCCACGCCCCAGCGCGTCTCAGCTCCGGCGTCCCCTGGCACAGCCTGGCCTCATTCGTCCGTCCGCTTGCCGTCCCTGGCCATCGTGCCTCCTTCCTTGGCCAGCTTGGGCTGCCACCACTCACGTATCCGCCCTTCTGGGGCTCCGTCTGCAGGAGGCGCTTCTTGTCCAGGTGAAGTACATCCGCGCCTCTGCGCCTTCGGCCACTCCGTGCTCTTCGTGCACCTCTCCAAATTCCTCTGCTTCACGGTCCCAGGTCTCCGACCTACCCCGCTGCGTTCCCCGCAGCCGCGCGGCTTCGCAATCGTGCACCTCTCTCCGGCACGCCCACGAAGTACTTCATGTTTTGAGCGGCTCTCACCCCCTTTCCCGCCTCCTCACTTCCCGCGTCGCGCCGTGCCACAAGTTGCTTCTGGCGCGTTTTGCCCGTAGCCCGACCAGCGCCTGCACCTGCTTCGGCTCGTTTGCGCTGGCTAACTTTTTAAAACATATTCCATCAGCGCAGGCTTGCGTGAGCCGTCGCGTCTCACCACAGCAATCTTCTAGACAAAAACGTCAGATCGCACGGAAATGATCAAGCATCCTACCTCGCCAATCTTCTTCTCCTCCTCCTCCTCCTCCTCCTCCTCCTCCTCCTCCTCCTCCTCCTCCTCCTCCTCCTCCGTGACCTCTCCCTCGTCGAGCGCCCGCCACCAAGCCCTCCTCCTCTTCCTCCTCCTCCTCTCCTCCTCCTTCTCCTCCTCCTCCTCCACTGGCCCTGGATGCGCCAGGGCCAGGGGAGCCTGGTGCGGGCAAGATGTATCGCAATATGAACTGGTTCTTGAACTCTCTGGGACGGGGCGCCACAAGGCTGAGGCACAGTGGATGTATGGAGAAAAATATACCTTAATATACGGGCCAGATGTTACCCATATCCACTGCGCCTCTGCTTTCTGGGGAAGGGAGCCCGAAACTCGAAGGCGCAAGGGATACGGATACGGCCGGATCTAGGACATAATAACATCCTTTCAAGAACATGAGACCCTCCGCTGGCCAAACTGAAGAACATTCGAGAAGACCCTCCACCTGGATGCGCAAGAACATCCAATCCACACGAAGAACATTGGGGCACCCTCCCCGAACCGACATCGATCTGACTGGGGAAAACCAACAGTCTTATTGGGGAAACCAAAAGGCACCGATACCGCTACTCATCGGACCTCTTCCGGGGTGCATTCCGACCAGAATTCCGAGGCGAATCCCGCGGCGGCGACGGGGGTCCCCCGGGAGGCCCACGAGGGCGAAACGAACGCAGGGGGAGCGGTATGGGTACCTTTTTCTTCTCCCTTGATCAGGGTGCCCTCCCCGAACCGACCTCGATCTTAGACCTCGGCCCGCGCGTGCAGTTCGTGCCCGCACCTGGGGTGGCGGACGGGGCGCGCTCAGTCTCGGACACGGGCCCTCCAGGTGGCCTTTTCGCCGCCGCGCGCCTATCAAGGGGCCGCCCTCCGGGGGAAGGGGAGGACGGGGAGCTGTGGAGGTGGAGGAAGAGGGAAGCAGGGGGGAGGAGGAGAGGAATGGGAATGGGAATGACGTCGAGCAAGAGTCCAAGCACGGAGGGGGAGGAGGAGAGGAGGCAGGAGGGGGAGGGGCAGGGAGGAGGGGATGGGGGAAAGAAAGGCGTGAGGAGGCGGGGTGGGAATTCCCTGGGAGGGGGGGAGTTGGAAGGTGGGGTGGGAATAAAAGGAGGATTCAGAGTTGTACGGGATGATGATGGGAAGAGTGACAAAGGGAGGGACAAGCTAGGTCTCAAGTGCGCGGGCGCCATATAAAACAACCGACCCATCCCACCCATCCCGTCCCATGTCGCTGATTTTCTGTCCGTCATCACGGGCCTGGAACTCCAAGAAGGGCACCACCGTGTTATGTGTAGTCGAACAAGGGGAGCTGCGCTGCATGAATTGTGAGAGGTGGCGGATAGGCATGATAATGAGCAGGAGGCAAACGAGGATGAGGAGGAAGGAGGATGACGAGAACGAGCAGTAGAGCAGGAGGACCAAGGGAAGGCGGAGGAAGGATAGGAAGGAGGGAGGCGACAACGATGAATGCTGACTCAGATCCCAAAAAGGTGCCCCTCGCTGTTTGCGGGAGCCGCCCTGTTTCGAACATGAGGCCCACGCTGCAGCGGAACCACCGTTCTGAAGGACCTGCCATTTTTGGATGAAGCAAAGCAAGAGAAACGACATACACAAAACGCGGAGGGCGGGGCTTTTTGCAGACAGTCGCGGGCGAATGGAGAACAGCACTCATACCAAGCTGGGCGCGCTCGCGCCAAACATGGTGTTCTGTTTAAGTTTCATCCGCGGACGCGTGTCGTAGCAAACCTGGAGCTCCCCACAAAACATGATCGTCTGACCTGCAATAGCACAGGGAGGAAACTGCGTACTTAGGAAGGGGGGGAGGAGGAAGAGGTGGCGGATTCAGAAGAGGATGAGCAGGAGGGAGAAGAGGAGGATGAGGAAGGATGACGAGGACGAGCAGCAACAGCGGAAACTTAAGAGGAAGGAGCGGGAGGAGCAGGAGGAAACGCTCGCGAACATCCCACCGATCCGCTTCTGTGGCACGGGCTTGATGGGGGGTGCGCTTGCAGGGGTCCGAAGGCGACCTGCGGCGCTGCAGCGGGCCGGTAGGCGGGGAAGTCTCAGCGGCTGCGCGCGCGGTTAGCAAAGCAGGGGACCCCCTGGGGCTGATCTCCGATCCCAAGCATGTGTGCCACGGGATCGCCGCTTCACGCCTGCGCGTCACCCCCCCGCGAGTGGACGCACGCGGACTTCTGGGAGCCCCTGATGCCACATTGCCGGAGCGGCTACATCACAGCTCGACGTGAGCGTCGCGGCGGCCAGGGGCGTCGAGCCCGAGGATCGCTCCGGTAACGCGGACGCCGACGAGCTGGCCGGGGCCGCCGCGCGCGCTCAGCTCCCCGCGCGGGCGTCCTTCGAGCAGCGCTGGGTGCAACTGCATGCTCCCTGGGTGATTCAGTGGGTGCTGGCGGCCGTGGAGCTGGCCGCGCTGCCGGCGAACCACGAGAGCGCGGGGCCAGCGAGCCCCCAGGTGCGCCGGCGCTGGACAGGCGGGCCGCTGCGGCAGGCGCTCGCTGCCCAACCCAGCCACCAGAGGCCGCGGCGGACGCCCGCGGCCAGCGGCGCGCCCGCTGGGCAGCCGCCTCGCCCGCCGCGCCCCCGGCGGCCGTGGGCTGCGGGGCAGGGCCCGCCGCAGCGCGGTGCCGCCGAGGCCACCAGGGCCCTCTTCGGGGGTGAGGAGGAGGAGGAAGAGGAGGAGGAGGAGGAGGAGGGGGGGGAGGAGGAGGAGCGCCTGGGCGCCGCACGTGGCATCGCGAGGCCCCGGCGGGGTCGCCTGCCCCCGGTGCGGCACGGCGGCCCCGCGGCGGCAGGCGCTCGCGGCGCGGCCCTGCCCCGGCGGGGCCGCTGTGCTGCCGCCCCGGCGCCCGCCGGCAGGCGCTTGCGGCGCGGCCCTGCCCCGCCCCGCTGGCCATCGCTCGGACGCCCATTCCCTGTGTGTTTTTTCGGTTTCGTTCGTTGCTTTTTCGCCAAATGATCAAGGATGCTCCTCGATGGTCCTCGCCGAAGAAAAAATGCACACGTCCGAGCGATGCCAAGGCCCCGCGCCGCCGCGCTCCTGCTCGTCCCTGCGGAGCGGGCCGCGCGCGGCCGAAGCGGATTGGCGCGGCGCGCGGCGCTGGCGGCTCTCGGCGCTGGCCGGGCCGCCGGATTGGGGCTAATGACAGCAGCTCCAGGCTAGCCTTCCCCCTCAGCGACACAGGGCTTCCTCCACGCTTGTGAAAGAAGTGCCCCGCGCTGGGGCGGCATTGCTACTCTGAGCGACGGGAGCAGCGCGTCGATCCTAAACTGAGGCCAGCGCTGCAGCAGGAACAATATTTGAAGAACCGACAACGATCGGACTGCAAAAACACTTACGACAAAACAGCGCTTGACATCCTCCAACAAACAGTAAGTAAAGATGTCCGAAGATCTTCTAGACGGAATCAGTGGAGCCTCGTACGCACTCGTCGTCGTCTTGTCTGGGTCCGTCGCCGCTCCCCCCCTCTTTCCCTGGGCCCTCGTCCTCAAGCGCGCCAGCCACCACGAAATGAAGCAACCCAGCCAAAGCGAAATTAACAACCTAGTCATTGAGTCGAAGGGAAGCCCCTTCCCTTTGATCCCTTCCCCGCCGGATGGGGGGGGAGGGTCCCCGGGGGGAGTCCCGGGGGGGGTCCTGGGGGGGTTCCTGGGTCAGAATACCATCCCCCGTTTGCGGCTTTTACAGAGGGGCCCTCTGTAGATGCGCTGGAGGAAGGGGGGTCGCCACGACGGATCCGCAAGAGCGCCCCTAGACGGCCCAAGCTCCACAAAACAGCCCAAGAACGCTTAAGGACGGCCAAAGGGGGGCCCCAGACGGGTCAAAAGAGCCCCAACAGGACTCTCAAGAAGGCCCAGAGAGGTCATATTCATGGATGTTCGAAAAGGTTTTTGTCCCCGACCTCTCCCTCCCGTCGAGGGCCGAGGCCTCCAGAACTGGTTGCTCCTACTCGCTTCCTCTCGCTGCTCCCCCACTCCTCCTCCTCCTCCTCCTCCTCCTCCTCATCCTCCTCCTCCTCCTTCTCCTCCTCCTCCTCCTCCTCCTCATCCTCCTCCGCATTCCTCTCGCTGCTCTCCCACTCCTCCTCCTTCTCCTCCTCCTCCTCCTCCTCCTCCTCCTCCTCCTCATTCGCCTTCGTCGTCTTCAGGGTCGGCGGCACCGGCCGTAAGGCCTTCGCAATCGTGGTTGGATGTGGAGCAAGGGTGGGAAGCAACTCCGTTCTGCCAGGAATGTCGATGCTCCCTGGCGCCTCCTGGTGCCCCAGCGCGTTTTCCCGGATGGTTCGAGTTCTTTCCCGTGGTCGTCGTCGTTATCCGTCTCCTCTGCGTCGTCTCCCTGCTCAACCTTGCCCCTTGTCCTTCGTCATTGCTTCATCTTGCAGAGAGCAGAAGGTGAGGAGCAGAAGCAAGGGCGAGCGGGAGGGGAGGCAGAGAAGCAGAGCAGGGGGACGGGTTGGCGGGATGAAGCGGATTAAGGAGAAGGAGGTGGAGGGGCAGGGTGAGAGGATATGACGTGATCAGAGGTGGGGAAGTGGTAGGATAAGCAGGGGCAGGAGGTGGGGGGACAAAGAAAACGTAGGTAAGAGGATGAGGAGGTGAAGGGGAGAAGAAGTGGGAGGAGCAGGACAAAGACGACGACGGACGAAGGACAACGGGGATAACAGCGGACGAGGCAAAACGGACGCGCGGACGACGGCGACCACGGAGACGACGGAGACGACGGAGACAACGACGACGACGAAGACGACGACGAAGACGACGACGACGACGACGACGACGACGACGACGACGACGACGACGACGACGACGACGACGACGACGACGACGACGACCCCGCGGAGGTCTCCGGGGCTCGGCGGAGGGCCCCCCCGTGCAGAGAGGGCCCGCGGGCGCTCCCTGAGATCGGAGAAGGGGGGCCCACCCGGCCGGCTGCTGCCGCGGCGCGCCCCGCAGAGCTGGCCGCTCCGGCTGCCGTGCCGGCACGGCGCGGTGCGGCTCGACCGATCGGCTGCCGGCACGGCGCGGTGCGGTGCTGCCGTGCCGGCACGGCGCGGTGCAAAGAGTGATCCTGTGGGCAAAGAGTGACCTCTGGTGCGGACTGAAGGGGGCGCAAAGAGTTGAAGGGGCCCTGGGACACACAGGTGAATGCACACAAATAGAAGGATTCCCCATAATTTCCCATATGTTCTGGGCTTCTGTCTTCCCCCCCCACTTCCCATATTGTCTCATATCTTCTGGGGAGTCGAGGATTAATTGTGTCTGTGCGTTTCTTTTCCTCCTGAGAAGAGTGATCCTGTGGGCAAAGAGTGGCCTCTGGTGCGGACTGAGGGGGCGCAAGGTGACCAAAGCCAAGCGCGCAAACAGCCGCCATCGCATCGCGCTCGGCGATCGGGGGGACCCCGCTGAGCCCGCACCAACGGTCACTTCGGCGAAGGGTCACTCTGACGTGTAGTCGAACCTGAGGCAGAAGAACATCCTTCAAGAACATGAGACCCTCCACCAGCCCGAACGGAAGAATATTCGAGGGCGCCCTTCCCGAGGATGCACAAGAACAGACAACAAGCAAGAAGAACACGAGGGCACCCTCCCCGAGCCGACCTCGATCCTGTACTTCGGCCCGACCGTACTGCTTGGCGACGAGCCCAGGGCTGAAGAGAGATGGGGCGGGCCCTCTCAGAAGGCGGCGGAGCTTCTGTGAAGGGGCCCTGGGACACACAAATAACTATACACAAATAGCAGGATTCCCTATATTTTCTCATATGTTCTGGGTTTCTGCCTTCCCCCCACTTCCCATATGTTCCCCTATTTTCTCGGGAATCGAGGATGAATTGTGTCTGTGTGTCTTGTCTCCTCCTGACTCTGGGAAGCCGTCTCTGCGCCTTCGGAGCGAAGGCGCCCGGAGAGCCTCCGAACGGCTGCGGAGGGCTCCCGAGGCGCCCCCGCCGCACTCTGCGAGGGCCTGCCCCCCCCCCCCTCCCGCCTCCCGCCTGGGCTCGCCGCCGACCGACCTCGACGCCCCCGCCCGAACGACGGCGGCGACGGCGGCGGCGGCCCGCGGCGGCGACGGCGAGGAGCGGCGGCGGCGAGGAGCGGCGGCGCCGCCGGGAGCGGCCTCTCTCCCTGGAGCCTCTCGTAGACGACGAACTCGACGTCGTCGGCCCGGTCGCCTCGGCCCCACCGCGCCCGGGGCGCGCCGGGCGCGGGAGAGGGAGGGGAGGGGGCAGGCTGTGGGGGGCGGGCCCGAAGCCAGGGGGTCCATGATCTTAGCTCAAGGCAGTGGCTTCAGAGTCCGACTCGCCGAGGAGAGGCGACTGGGCCGTGGCCCGACGCCACCCTCCGAGCCTCCACCCCGGGGAGGTCGCATCTTCAAGCGCGCACGGGGCGAAGCCGCCTGCAAAGTCGGAGGCACCAGGACCTGCACCTTCCCCTGGGGCCCGACCAGCCTCCTGCAAGCGTCTGAGCTAGGACCCTACGCTCGGCGAGGTCGGGACGGAACTTGGTCAGCCGAATCCTTCTCAGCTGGTGGGAGGGGCAGGGCAGCGAGTGGAGGGTGGGGCAGATAAGGAGGGACAAGAGGGGCCAAACGCCGATCCAGGAAATCCGCGCGGACCTCCGAGCTAATATGTTTATGCAGATGGTCCGTCTTCGACGGGGGGCCGAGTTTTCCGTTGGATGTGCAGCAAGCGCGGCGCCTCTCAGCACATCCAGGACCGTGCCCTGCGCATGCTGTGCCAGCCTTTGCCCGAGCAGATGCCCTGCGGCAGCTCTTTGTATATGAAGCGTGATAACTCTGGACGCAGCCCCCTCGTCTCAATCCCAATGGGGCTGGGGCAAGCCACTGCCCGTGCAGAGAGTTATCCAGGCTGTCCCAAATCAGCTTGTATGTGCGCGGCTGGGCGGTCTCCATACAGGTTGTTTCTCAGCCATGCCTGAAAAGGGAATCCAAACAACACAGAAGAACTCCTCCTCTTGCTTCTCCTCCTCCTCCTCCTCCTCCTCCTACTTCTCCCCATGGAACCGAAGGATACGGCGCGGACCTCCGACGGCTTTGCATGTGTTGTTTGCAATTCGTCTTCTTCGACTGCGCCTTCCCCCGCTCCTCTCACATCATCCCACTCCCCCTCCACCACACGCCTCCCCCTCCCCTCCCCTCTCTTTCCTCCCCCCCCTCCTCCTCCTGCGGCCCGTCATGCTCCCCGTCCTCCCCTTCTCCCGATCCAGATGCATTTGACCTCAACCAGCATGTTCTAGGCTCCAGCCAAACATTGTGTACTAGATTGGTTCGAAACCGATCACCGTCGCGGGCCGTTGCGCCCAAGCTTGTAGTTATACGAGCTGCCATCGGATCTTGAGTGCTGCTTCTCTCTTGACCTGCGTGCATCCCTCTTCCACCCCCTCCTCCACCCCGTGTCTCCTCCACCCCTCCCTAGTTCGTCCCCTCATCCCCTGTTCCCGCCCTGCTGGGGGGAGTGAAGGGGGTATGGGACTACGGCGGACCAGCGCTAGAGGGGGAGGTAAACGAATGCTAGGGAATCATTGCATCAAGGCCTCTACTGGTAAACAGTCATGCTGCGCCCGCTGAAATACACCTGACCCGAGCGATGGCAAACGCGAGAGAGCCACCGCCTACGGGCCAGGGACGAATCGGAGTCCCAGGACTCCGCGCGGAAACGGAGGCGTGGGAAGAGGATTGGGAGGGCCCAGGAGGGCTGGGGAGAGCCAGGGCAAGGCACGGCCAGGGTGGGTGGGGTGGGGGGAGGGAGGGAGGGCATCGGGGGCCAGGGAGGGCCTGGCAAGGCGTGGAAAGGTGGGGAGGGCAAGGAGGGCCAAGGTCCTCCACCTTCCCCCGCCCCGAGCGCCTGGCCCTCGGTGAACGCCTAAACCTCGCCCCATCATCAACATCATCACGATCATCACCTTCATCGCCATCGCCATCGCAATCGCCATCATCAGCAGCAGCAGCAGCATCATCACCATCACCATCATCATCATCATCATCATCATCATCATCATCATCATCATCATCATCATCATCATCATCATCATCATCATCATCATCATCATCATCATCATCATCATCATCATCATCATCATCATCATCATCATCATCATCATCATCATCATCATCATCATCATCATCATCATCATCATCATCATCATCATCAGCATCATCAGCATCAGCATCATCATCAGCATCATCATCATCATCATCATCACCATCATCACCATCACCATCATCATCATCAGCATCATCATCAGCATCAGCAACATCATCATCATCATCAGCATCATCAGCATCAGCATCAGCATCATCCTCATCAGCACCATCATCATCATCAGCAGCATCATCAGCAACATCATCATCACCACCACTATCACCATCATCATCAGCATCATCATCATAATCATCAGCATCATCATAATCATCAGCATCTATTCATCATCATAGTCATCATCATCATCAACATCATCATCATGATAATCATCATTACCATCATCAACATCATCATTCTCGCCATCAATATCATCATCACCGTCATCGTCACCATCGCGCGCACCGTCACCATCATCATCATCACAATCAGCATCGTCATCATCGTCATCATTATCATCGTCATCCTTATCATCGCCATTGTCATCACCATCAGCATAAGCAGCATCATCATCATTGGCAGCACCACCTCCACCACCACCATCAACATCACCATCATCAGCCTCACCGTCTCCACCACCACCATCAGCATCATCATCATCAAAATCATAACCACCATCATAATCATCCTGAGCACCATCACCATCACAATCGTCCCGATCACCCCCATCATCATCATCATCGTCAACCATCATCATCAGCATCGCCATCATCAGCACCACCACCGCCATCATTCCAATCACCAACACCATCACCATCACCCCAATCACCATTACCATCACCATTATTGTCTTTATCAGCATCACCATCATCGGCATCATCACCATCATTATTACCATCATCAGCACAATCATAATGACCATAACCATATTCGTCCACACTATCACTGTCATCATCAATATCACAATCACCACCATCATCATCACCACCATCATCATCATCATCATCATATCATTATCCTCATGATCATCCACTCCATCTTCATCATCACCAGTATCATCATCATCTTCATCATCATCAACATCATCAACGACTCTACCATCATCATCATCACCACCATCATCACCATCATCACCATCATCATCATCATCATACTCACCATCGTACTCATCATCATCACCATCAGTATCACCATCATCACCAGCACCATCACCACCATCATGATCACTATCATCACCACCACCCGCCTCCTCCTCCTCCTCCTCCTCCTTACTATCCCTCCCAAGCGCCGCGCCCTCGGTGAACGCCAGCGTCTTGCCCCACGTCGGGTCGCCGCAGGCGAGGCAGTCGTCGGTCCTCGCCGCGGCGGCACCGCGCGCTCGGCCCGATGGCGGAGGGGGGCTGCTCCTCCTCCTCCTCCTCCTCCTCCTGCTCCTGGATCCTCTTCCTCCTCCTCCTTCTCATCCTGCTTCACAGGATCGAGGAGGCGGAGGATCGGATCCTGCTCCGACCCTGACGCTACTGACCCGAACCCGTTGCGGACCAGAAGCGCCATGCTGCAAATTCGGATCGGAACCGTGCACTACGGACACGGCTCCAGGGTGGGTGCGGGCACCCTCAGGCCCCAGGACCGTCCAAGGGAAAAGCGACGACGACAGGGAAGGACAGCACGGGGAGGAGGAGGAGGCGGAGGCAGACGGAGGAGGACGGAGGACTGCCGAAAGAGACAACTCCCGCCGAGGTGGGGACGAGCAGGTCCGGAGAGAAACACAGCAGATCTCCTTTGATGGCTTTATCCTTTCGTCCCAAATTACACTTTGATAAATCAATACCCCATCGACCACGGGTGATAAGGAGGTCTGGGGCTGATGAAATTGCATGCAAGGTTGCAGTTTGGTTTGAATGTCGACGTGTAAGCGACGTATACGGTGTGTATGTTGATGTGACTTTCGAATGGCATTCGATCCGCGCGACATTGCAATCCGCCACCCAGAAGGCCCCAAGAGGCGCACAAGAGGCCCCAGGAGGCCCCGGCCCCCAAGAGGCCCCAAAACTGTCCCCAAGAGGCCCCAAAACTGCCTCTAAGAACACACCGACAGGCCCCCCACGAGATGCTCCACTAGGCTTATAACCCACAACCCAGGCACAGTGGCGGGACTTGCCGTAGACAGCTGGACTAGATGTCAGTTTGACTTGCATGAGGAATTACCTTTTCGATTGCATTCCGATGTGACATCCTTTGCACTTGGGCCGAGGGGGGAGTGAGAGGGGGCAGGCCTTATCAGACGGCTGCGGGGTCTTTCAGCAGCCCCCCGTTCTGAGAAGCCTTTGTTTGTGGCAGGAGAAACCTGAAAAAGCACCTGAGAAGGCCGACTTTTCAAACCGCCAGAGGTCTCCCAAGCCTGTGAGGGAGGCGCGGCCCTCTGCCATGCTCCGTCAGCGCGACGCCGACCGATGTTCATCATCAAGGTGATCGAGAAGTACGCCACCAATCCAAGCACATCCCCGCGGTGAAAACGAAAAAGGGAAGGAGACGCGGAAAAACAACGGTTTAGCTGGCGGACACACGGTTGCTCGCGCATCGGAAAGACAAGTTCACCTGCGAGGGTCGCCGCAGGCGAGGCAGTCGTCGGTCCTCGCCGCGGCGGCACCGCGCGCTCGGCCCGATGGCGGAGGGGGGTTGCTCCTCCTCCGCCTCCTCCTCCTCCTGCTCCTGGATCCTCTTCCTCCTCCTCCTTCTCATCCTGCTTCACAGGATCGAGGAAGCGGAGGATCGGATCCTGCTCCGACCCTGACGCTACTGACCCGAACCCGTTGCGGACCAGAAGCGCCAGGCTGCAAATTCGGATCGGAACCGTGCACTACGGACACGGCTCCAGGGTGGGTGCGGGCACCCTCAGGCCCCAGGACCGTCCAAGGGAAAAGCGACGACGACAGGGAAGGACAGCACGGGGAGGAGGAGGAGGCGGAGGCAGACGGAGGGGGACGGAGGACTGCCGCAAGAGACAACTCCCGCCGAGGTGGGGACGAGCAGGTGGGGAGAGAAACACAGCAGCTCTCCTTTGATGGCTTTATCCTTTCGTCCCAAATTACACTTTGATAAATCAATACCCCATCGACCACGGGTGATAAGGAGGTCTGGGGCTGATGAAATTGCATGCAAGGTTGCAGTTTGGTTTGAATGTCGACGTGTAAGCGACGTATACGGTGTGTATGTTGATGTGACTTTCGAATGGCATTCGATCCGCGCGATATTGCAATCCGCCACCCAGAAGGCCCCAAGAGGCGCACAAGAGGCCCCAGGAGGCCCCGGCCCCCAAGAGGCCCCAAAACTGTCCCCAAGAGGCCCCAAAACTGCCTCTAAGAACACACCGACAGGCCCCCCACGAGATGCTCCACTAGGCTTATAACCCACAACCCAGGCACAGTGGCGGGACTTGCCGTAGACAGCTGGACTAGATGTCAGTTTGACTTGCATGAGGAATTACCTTTTCGATTGCATTCCGGTGTGACATCCTTTGCACTTGGGCCGAGGGGGGAGTGAGAGGGGGCAGGCCTTATCAGACGGCTGCGGGGTCTTTCAGCAGCCCCCCGTTCTGAGAAGCCTTTGTTTGTGGCAGGAGAATCCTGAAAAAGCACCTGAGAAGGCCGACTTTTTAAACCGCCAAAGGTCTCCCAAGCCTGTGAGGGAGGCGCGGCCCTCTGCCATGCTCCGTCAGCGCGACGCCGACCGATGTTCATCATCAAGGTGATCGAGAAGTACGCCACCAATCCAAGCACATCCCCGCGGTGAAAACGAAAAAGGGAAGGAGACGCGGAAAGACAACGGTTTAGCTGGCGGACACACGGCTGCTCGCGCATCGGAAAGACAAGTTCACCTGCGAGGGTCGCCGCAGGCGAGGCAGTCGTCGGTCCTCGCCGCGGCGGCACCGCGCGCTCGGCCCGATGGCGGAGGGGGGCTGCTCCTCCTCCTCCTCCTCCTCCTCCTGCTCCTGGATCCTCTTCCTCCTCCTCCTTCTCATCCTGCTTCACAGGATCGAGGAGGCGGAGGATCGGATCCTGCTCCGACCCTGACGCTACTGACCCGAACCCGTTGCGGACCAGAAGCGCCAGGCTGCAAATTCGGATCGGAACCGTGCACTACGGACACGGCTCCAGGGTGGGTGCGGGCACCCTCAGGCCCCAGGACCGTCCAAGGGAAAAGCGACGACGACAGGGAAGGACAGCACGGGGAGGAGGAGGAGGCGGAGGCAGACGGAGGGGGACGGAGGACTGCCGCAAGAGACAACTCCCGCCGAGGTGGGGACGAGCAGGTGGGGAGAGAAACACAGCAGCTCTCCTTTGATGGCTTTATCCTTTCGTCCCAAGTTACACTTTGACAAAATCAATACCCCATCGACCACGGGTGATAAGGAGGTTTGGGGCTGAGGAAATTGCATGCAGGTTTGCAGTTTGGTTTGAATGTCGACGTGTAATCGACGTATACGGTGTGTATGTTGATGTGACTTTCGAATGGCATTCGATCCGCGCGACATTGCAATCCGCCACCCAGAAGGCCCCAAGAGGCGCACAAGAGGCCCCAGGAGGCCCCGGCCCCCAAGAGGCCCCAAAACTGTCCCCAAGAGGCCCCAAAATGGCCCCCAAGAGGCCCCAAACCTGCCTCTAAGAACACCCCGAGAGGCCCCCCACGAGATGCTCCACTAGGCTTATAACCCACAACCCAGGCACAGTGGCGGGACTTGCCGTAGACAGCTGGACTAGATGTCAGTTTGACTTGCATGAGGAATTACCTTTTCGATTGCATTCCGGTGTGACATCCTTTGCACTTGGGCCGAGGGGGGAGTGAGAGGGGGCAGGCCTTATCAGAAGGCTGCGGGGTCTTTCAGCAGCCCCCCGTTCTGAGAAGCCTTTGTTTGTGGCAGGAGAATCCTGAAAAAGCACCTGAGAAGGCCGACTTTTTAAACCGCCAAAGGTCTCCCAAGCCTGTGAGGGAGGCGCGGCCCTCTGCCATGCTCCGTCAGCGCGACGCCGACCGATGTTCATCATCAAGGTGATCGAGAAGTACGCCACCAATCCAAGCACATCCCCGCGGTGAAAACGAAAAAGGGAAGGAGACGCGGAAAGACAACGGTTTAGCTGGCGGACACACGGCTGCTCGCGCATCGGAAAGACAATATCACGCCCTTCCGCGTAGGGCTGTGGTGCGCATGTCGGCCAAGGGGCATGGTCCCACCAGCAAACAAACTAGAACCCCGCGCGCGCCGCGCGAATTTATGGTCTATCGCAGGACAAATCAACGTCGCGACACAGCGGTTGCATATCGACGTATCTTTTCTGCGTGTGTAGCGGCTTCGTTTGGTCCTTCGTCCTTGTCGCTCTCGATTCGGGCGTCCCCTCCTTTACTTCATCCGCCTCCTTTTCCCGGTGGTGCTTTCCCCTATCCACATTTGTCGCTCCGCTCTTCTATGATGTCCCTCACTCATCGTTTACCCTACTCCTTAGTCTGGCCGTCTTTCTCCAACCTCCGTTCGCCATCCTTGTGGAAGGTGACGGAGTGAAGCGTAATGAGGGAAACATGTGGCACCCCAAGGTCGAATCGGTAGGCAACATCGGCCTACCCCGCCTCACCCCTCCACCCCCTTTTCATCTCATCAGCAACATCCTCATCACCACCCCGTCAGTACCATTATTCATGCATCTTCCTCCACTACATGTATGTGCCTTTGCTCAAGTGATCGCTAAAATCTGACGCACGTGATGTACCATCATCCTCCTCTTCTAGCTCAGCGGCCCCTTTTCCGCGGATCATCCGGGCGAAATCTCGGTTGGCGCTGGCGGGCGACATGGCGGCGCGTGCGCCGCACCTTTTCACCAGCCACGAGGCGCGAAAAAATCGCTCCGCAGTTCTCTTGAACCGAACGCCCGCCACAGCAGGCGGGCGGGGGCTTGTTCCCCCCGCGGCGGGCACCCGAGCTACCTCGCCCCACTTGCCAGCCATCAGCGCACACGCCTCCATGGGCGCGAACCTCAGCCAATATGCCACGGTGCTGCCAGCCCGCGCAGCGCATACTCCTGCTGCAGAAGCGGGGCGCGATTGCTCGAAGGACCCCTACTTGACTCGCCGGCCGGCGGGGCGCCCCAGCACTGATCGCCTAGCCGGCCACCCACCCCGCGGCTCACGGCGACCTCGCTTACCTCGTCCAGCAGTCCTCGTCCTCCTCGTCCCACTTCATCTCCGAATCCTTATTCCACTTTCGTGCGTGGCTTTGCCGTTTGCTCCCTGAGCTCCTGTCGCCTCCGCTGGCACTGCAAGCTTCTTCACCTTGGTTCAATACTTTATCGTCATCTTTCCAGCG